GGCGTTGGGGATCGAAAGCTGCCAGGTTTCCCGCCCGAATCGGAATCGTGGGCCATCTCAATCAGATCGTTTTGAGGGTCCTGGAAATATACTCTGGGCGACTTTATCAGCAGACTTGCAAAAGCATGCAGCTAGAATTGGATACACCAACCTTATAGCCTGGTTAGGCTGCGAGAAAAATGTAACGGCTATGGCTGTTCTAGGGAGTGCCGCGCCCAGGTTAGAGAGACCTGCCATTCTTTTGAATTTTCTAGATAGAGAGAACAACGTCATTGAGGGAGCTCTTGCGCTGCCTTGGTAATGCTTATCGTCCCATCCGTATTCTTGGATTGAATTATCGGGCGACTGAGCATAGACTCGGAGAGCAGGGTCTCCGCAAGGTACGCGGCTCCCACGGTGCTGTTGGCTGCGACATGGAAGTCGTTGTTGTTCAATGCACCCGTTTACCAGCCAGAGGTAGTGTCGTGGGCTGCCTCTGACAGGGTGTTGTTGTTGGAGATAGAGTACACGCGGATCTATTAAAGACATTAGATTTGTTATGCAACTGAATGGCAAGCATCTCACACTGTCAAGTGCCATGGATGTAGCAGCGAGGGGAGAGCCCGACTTGCAGTTGGCAATTATCCTGCCAGAGTATCATCCATTTGCATATGCACTCTCGCGAATCCCGCTGCTTGGATCCTGGGTATACATCCTCAGTTGATTGCTGTTGTTGACCGCCGCAACTGGACAGCCTGCATCATATGCTAGTCTACCTCTTGTAAGGATTATAGAATGTTGAACTAACGGGCTCTGGGGTTTATATTGGGTATTGCGTGCTAGAGAAGTAACAAACTTAGAGAGAACTCTGGTGAAATGATGGTCAGATGAATCTTGAGGAAGGTCGGAGTTAGTGTGACTGGAAGGCCCTTATATAGTGCGGTGAGCATTGCGGAATTCCCTCTGTTAGCAGATCACACAACCCAATGATTCAAACTATGAGTGAATTTAACAGTGATACCACTAGGCTCAGTGAATTAAATCTAATTGAGTCTCTCCTCACCTCCACAGGGTAGCATGGCCACGGGCCGGATTACCTCCAGGGCGCAACCACACTGTCAAGCTGGTCTCCGGGGCACAAGGCGTGATCCTACTTTTCCAATACCCAGGAAGTAATTTGAGCCTGTTGAAGCTGGCTGTCCAGGGGATAAATTGAGATTCAGGATTTAGTCAGGCTCCTTATTGGGTCAATTGAGACGCATATCCACTTATAGTATGAAAATATGGACCGGGAATACTGTTTGCTGCTACCTTAACAGTCTTCTCCTAGTCTATCATCCAAGCTTAGTTTGAAACCTCGTTTAGAATTGCTAAGACAAGGTAGTATCTGTAGAATTTCTGGCATTTACTGTATGACTTTGTCATGTGTGGTTCTGTATACATTTTCTTCCTACTAGCTGCTTATTGTAAGGATTAAGTGCCACCACCAGAGGTCCGCATGCGATAAGACCAATCCGCCCATTCCTATCAACTATGACCATAACTTTTTTGATGGTCTCTGCGGATATGTTCCTTCGAATTGTCACATCTGTTAGACACCTTCTGGCAACCGTCAACCGGACAGCAGTAGGAGTCCTTGCAGATATGGACCGCCTTCAGGTGCCGTAATAGGTCGCTCTCGCGGCCAAAGGTGCTAGTATATTCGCACCCTTCCCATCTACACCGCAGCAGGGCTGCATGACTTGCCCGCCCAACGCTTAATAACTTAGCTAGAACGAGGGCGATAGTGGAAAGATAGGATCTAGCTCACCGCTTCTAATACATTTGTCATGAGCTGCATCCTTTGCAATATTGCATTATCACAGCTTGCAGTCTCGGCAGACGATCTCACGTCGGAGTCCCTCTTGGTGTGGATATATTGGCCAGACGACTCGCCATTGGTGGTATACTCGTTGGCCTTGGGGGTGGAGCTGGCACCCTGGATATGCTGTGCTCCCGTAAGGTCAGGGCCATATGCGAGTTGCAGATCTTTCAATGTTGGGAATTGCAATGGATTATTAGAATATTCATATTCAATGTCGTTTGGATAGAGAGATATGGAGCCAGAAGTATTTCCTGCGCTATTTTGCAAAGGGTATTGAGGTATGTCCATTGCGTTCGCAAATGTATGAGGGACGCAAAGCCCCGGTAGATTGAGACCGACCGATTCAGGGAGGCAATGGATCATCTCCAACTCCAACTGGGTTGGATAGAAAGAGCACATGTTCCATAAAATAGCTTATTCGGGATGCGAATGCTGAGACTTGAAGACAGTAGATGCATCAGTGCAAATTAGTGCATCATTCCGACTCGTTTAAATATGATCTTGTCTTAAGCTGCTGTGACATACGCGGAATCCTCCTCATACTCCTACAGAGCATGGTATTCAATTGGGGAGCACTGACTGGAGCGCTACTCCTGCCATTCAGGGCCCTCTATGGACTCTTCCCTAGAACTATGATGCAGTACATTTATTCTAGCCGTGAACAAAGGGCTGCTTGAGAACCATTAGGGCAGAAAAGTCCAATACGCCTGGTCTCTATTGTTGGGATGATGCCACAAACATCGTTTACTTTCCTTTCTCGTAGCGACTACTCACTGAAAGCAGCAAGCATTGGCATTGACAACCTCAACTGCATTATTCAAGCCTGTAAACTGGAACGGATCTCGGACGTACTCTCTGTGTATACCACCCTATATGCCATGTCCGCCGACAAACACCGTCGAAATGGTCCCGAAGCTCAGTTCGGCTTCGATCATGACAACTACGTGACGTCTGACAACCGCCCATATGTTCGTATGTGATCAGCATCCGCTCTGTGACCCATAACCTCGTTCCCCTCCGAGGAGATAATGAGTGCGAATGGGAAGGCAGGCTCTGTGCCAAATTATGGTTGACCTACCGAAACTCAAGCAGATGTGAAGAAGCTTACGGAAAAACATTACATCTTTATAGAGACGGAAAAAAAGGCTATTTTCTATACTGGACATAAAAATTGACCAGTCTTGATAACTCCTATTCTTTTTACGTAGTTCTGCTATCTCCTCTTCAGTTCTCTTTATGATGTATATATGCCCCTGTTCAGGCCTGTTCATTTCGTGTTGTCTGACGTACCACCTGAACCGTTTGCCTCCCAATTCCCACTGTACATTGTTCTCTCTGCAGAGCAAGGGCGGCATTAAACCTTGGAGAGCAGCTTTCCTGAATAAAACGCCCTCGAAACACCAGCCAGGCAAGTACACACAACCATCGACAAGCCCGCAAACAACGCCGCCGCCTCGTACCCATAGCTTCGAATAAGCGCCCCCGCAATTGGCGTCCCCGTCAGCCCAGCGACGGAGACAATCGCGCTTGCCTGTCCCATGTACGTTCCAATCTCCTGCGGCCGGGGCGCCAGCTGTGCTATAGACACTGGGTACAGGGAGATGATCGCGCCGGAGACAAAGCCAAAAACCGCTGCCCAGGCGATAAGGCCGGCAGCTGTGGTAATGCGGATCCAGGTGAGGAGCATGATACTGTTGGCGGCGTACACGCAGACCAGCATATTCAGCCGTCCGAACCGATCGGCCAGGAATCCTGGAATGATTCTCCCGAGCAGCGAGCCGGCGTTGACGATCGACAGCGTGTAGAACGCTAGATCCCCGCCCATGTGTACCTTCTGGATTGCGAACGAGACAATGAAGAAATACGGCACCCACATCCCCCAGAAACTGAAAAAGACGGCGGCCACTAGGAATGAGTACGACGGTTGCAGAAATGCGCGAGGGAGGAACAGCTGGCCCTTGCGTGGTGGCAGCCTCTCTCTGACTAGGGCGCAGGCGATAGCTAAAAGGCCCAGAACCACGAAACCGACCACGCGGACACCCCACCCGAAACCTAGTCGCTGGCTATAGAGAGCGTGTTTCAAGGCGATGGGGAACAGAAGACCACCCAGGGAAGAACCGGCGGCACAGATCCCCATAGCAAGGCCCCGTTTCTTCTGGAAATAGTGGCCGATGGCCGCAAGGGAGGGCGTGAAGATGAAGCCGGTACTTAAGCCCCCGAGAATCCCCTGGGCAAGAATGACTTGGTAATACTGTTGGCACAGGCTGGTCATCATGATGGAAAAGACGAAAGAGATCGATCCTGGTATCAACAGTATCTACGCTGTGTGTTAGTCGGGCCTGTCTGTGGGGTTGGGGAGGGTATCTTGCCTTTGCCCCGTGCAGATCAAACAGACTCCCTGAGACCAGACTGGTAACGAACTGGAGGAAGATCTGGATCGAACCAATCCATGCAATCTCTGAAGCCGTTTTCTCAGCCAACTGGTGTTCACTGTAGTATGTCTCATAGATGCTGAACCGGTCTGTTTAGTCCTTCCGCCTAAGCATTCTTAATCTAGACGTTGACGTACCCAAAAGCAGATAGATATCCAAAGGCACATCCTAAAGCGATGCTTGCGCCGAACACAACGGACCATGCTCTTACTCCTCCTTCTGGGAACGAAGGCTTTACGGCTGGAGTTGTGTCCACCTCCGACTTCGGGAGAGCATCAACCGTGCCAGTTGGAGGCAAGAGTTTTGCTTGGGTGGCCATCTGGACAATGCACGTAAAGGGGTTTCAGTGATCTATATTGAAAAACGAGGGGAAAGAGTTGCTTTTGGAGGAGATTGTAGATGCGGACATGACAGAGGATGGATGGCTATTCATTATATACTCTCCACGACTTCCGTATGGTCATCGGCCGATCAAATCCGACCCAAACTCCGTTGATCACAAAAAACCATCAATTTCCCCTTTTCCTGCTCTGTATCCAAGGAATTCTGTGGATGAGTGAGTCTTCGTATTGAGATCGGAGTTAAGCGTCGGGGTGGTCGGCCGACCAGAATCTGCCTTTGATTCGCTGTGGATGAAATCATCACGATCTCTCGCCCCTCTTCCTACTATTTCCTATGAACACAATTTTCATCAATGAAGCTGAATTCTCAGCTAGATAAGCAGGATGGCCACTGGTACCTCCACCCGTCGACGTGTGGTTCGCGCTTGTCAACGATGTCGGACGTTGAAAGTTGGCTGTGACAAGGCGAAACCGGCATGCCGCCGTTGCATCAAGGCCGGTGCAAGTTGCGTGGTACGCCACACTGGAAGCAATGAGAGCGATAGAGCATCTACAAATGGTGATACTAGTATTCTGACGGAGGATCTGGATGATTCTCTGCGGAACAGGGATGAGGTACGTTTGGCCCGATGTCTCTGCTGCCCTCCACTCACAGCTGCACAGCTCACCGGCAGCACCGTATCCAACGAAAATGGGTCCTTTCATTCCCCATTAAGCTACCACCAATTAACATCTCACAAGCGCAATCGCAATCCCGTATCTTGTATTCGTTGTCGCCGATTGAAAGTCCGATGTGATCGGCAGCAGCCATGTCACAGGTGCACAAAGGCAAAAGCAGTCTGTGCATATGGCCAGTCAAGCGGGATTCACCATGATTCTGACGGAGAATCTTTTGCGGACAACTCGAGTGCTGCCGCTCGCTTTGCCGCGTGGAGTGGCCGGTTCCGGACCGACACTCACTGGATAACGCTAGTCAGGGAGGTATGTCCTGTAATTAAGCCTTAAACGAGATCAAGCGAACATTGCTGACGGCTCATCAGGTTGAAAACTCTCTATCAGCACATGGTTCCGGACTTGCTCCTCACAGCCATACGAGTCATTCCAATCGACCCGATATATTGTCGGATCTTCCGTGGGGACTGAAAAAAGTGGAATCGAAAAGCGTACTGCTAGAGCGCATGCCGACTCGAGTGGTTGGAGAGAAATTGATTTCCATGTATATCGACGTTGTTGAAAAGACGCACCATTTACTGGACCTCCCAGCATTCCAGCAACAATTGCTGCTCTTTTGGGACCACCCGGTGGAAGCTGAAGATGGCTGGCTTGCCCTACTTTTTGTCATTTTCTACCTCGGCCAAGAAGCCCATCGTACCGTCGCTTGTGGTTCGACTGACTTACTCTTAAGCGTACCTCGAACCGAGTTCTTAGAAGTATCGCAGGGATTCCTCCATCGCACTTCGTTTGTTGCACACCCGAATCTCGACATCATTCGAACTCTATGCCTCATGGTCGTTGCGAAGCAGATGGTGCAAATGTCTTGCTCCGCGATGGATACTTCGTGGTGTCTAACGGGATTGATATTGCGCATTGCCATGAGCATGGGTCTGCACTCGGCACAAGTGGATGACCCGAGGCTGGGAAAGGCTGAGCGACAGACGCTCAGCGTTCTCTGGACGTCGATCATGTATCTCAACCTCCGTCAGTCGGTTCTGACGGGAATGCCAATCCTGCTCCGGCCGCGAGATTACATTTGCGCATCTCCTCCCAGCATCAACGGCTGTCCTGACAGAGCTCTCCCACGGCTGAATCTGGAGGAGGAGACAGAGACCTTTCATGGCCTTTTCAGACGCGCCGTCCCACTCGCATCTCAATTATTGGACCTGAGCCACGGCCCGACTCGATCAGAAACGTACGAGGCTATTATGCACTACACAGCGGAGACCAGACACTTGCTGGTCCATGCATCAGAAACACTACGAAAATCCCACCCGACGACTGGCGAAGCCCGGCAAGCCATCATGCTCGACATTCTATTCCGCCGGCTCCTCCTGTCCGTCCACCGTCCTTTTGCCCACGATGAACGTGCTCCACTCCGGTATCCTCTCTCGTACTGGACATCCTTAGACTGCGCCCTCGCGATCCTTGTCCACCAACGGGACCTCTGGGAAGCTCCCGCGGACAACTCCCCGGTCAGCCGGTCTTTCGCCCGCCTCTTCTGGCCAGACTTCCTCGTTGCGGCCCTCACGCTATCGGGGTACCTGCTTCGAGCGGACACGCCGCTTGATCCGCCGCCGAGCAGCGGGTACGGTGGCATGCCCGCGCGCACCACATTGCTGGATGCACTGCGCTCGTGCAGAGACATCTGGCAACTAGAGAAAGACAGAAATATTTGCCATTCGCACGCGTTTGTAATGATTGATCGCGTTGTTTCAGCTGTTTCGGCTTTGGAGGAGACAGGTCCCGATAGTATACCGGCCTTGAACCGTGCTGATGTCGAAAGCGCCATCGATGCAGCTAGTGCTGGGGTCCACTGAGACGGTACGCAGAATAGAGTTGGTGTGACAAGCCACTTGGGTAAGTTATGTCCGTTGTCTAGATTCCTCAGTGCCTAGTTACTGAACTCATGCCGTTGTCGCACGGCTAATTGCTGACCCTAAGTCAGATAACGTATGGTATCCGCCTCGCGGGGATGGATCTTGGTGTATGTGCAGCCCTTCCCTGGCCTTAGAGTCTGACTAATCTTGTTAGAGGAATACTTGAAGTATTTTGCCTTGGAGTAGAAAGATGTCTTAGCATCTTCTCTTAGGGCTTCTTCTACTAGAATTGAATGAGTCGCAGTAGCCATTACAGAATAGGTGGAACAGGAAGGAATTAGGGCCTTGCGATGCAGCTAACCAGCTACTGCATATCCATTTCTTTCATCAGAAACCCTGCCAGTGAAAACCCGCGTAGTCGTATTCGCCAATTGCCCCTCGTTAGCCATCCACTGAGACCCTCAGCCAAGCATTGGCAAAATAAGAACTCTCCACTCCCATGCCTTTGCATTTTCTTGTCTCACATCGGCTGGCTCTCGGGTCACTGTCCGTGCGGGTATCACCGGCAGGAGGGTCATATTGCAGCAAACAATTGCATGGTTCGTGCAGCTAGCAAACATCAAAATCATTTGGTGTTGGTGGAACTTTGTGACTAGTGTGTCTTTAACTGCGACTGATGAAAGGCTGGCTGAGCTGAGATTTTAGTCTGCCAAATCAGTCATGATCAGGAGATTGACGTTTATACAGTCCTCTTGGAAAGGTATAAATTCACTAATGGCGACGCCTCAGGATTGGGTTCCCTCTCTTGCACTTTATACTTACTTTAATTTCAGTCTATCAGACACAAAATGCTGCTTAGTGCAACCTTTCTCCTCCTTGGTCTGGCGTTCGCGAAACCAGGTATGCTCCTCCATCATTTATCACTGCAGTCATTAATAGACAATTGCAGTTATACCAAGAGATGATACAAGCCCGACGCCTACTCCCACAGCTCCTACTGACGCATGCGCCACCTCGTCTGTGAGCAGCCAGTGGCTAAGCACATGTAACACCACGGTGTTTTGGCCAACCTCAACAGACTACTTCTACGGCCCGACCACAGGCGCTGGGGCATCTGCTGTCATCTGCAATGCCCAATGGGTCGAATACAATGGCCGAGCAGATGGGCTTGCCTCACTTGGAGCAACTTCCACTTCGACCTCATATTGGATTTCCCCCACCAGCACCGGGGCGTGCAACACAGATGTCCGGCGTGAGGGCCCGGGAGACCCACACACTGGCCCCGTCACCACACTCTGCGATGGAATCACCCGTGCTATTGGCCCTCTGGAGTTTATCACGGACTACTGGCCCGGCACAGGCCCTTGCAGTACATCGATGTTGACCGAGTCTGACACCACTCTGCTGTACCGGTCGCCCTCCCCTGTCCCCACCTGTAAGCTGAATACGCAGGATTGCATTCCCATCTGGCAGACCTACAGCAGTCTTCGCTCCGTCTACCATGAGTCAGTAACAACGGAAATTCCAGGAGACACAAACAGCCCCATTCGCCCAACACAATGCCCCACGACAAAAAGGAACTACACAGAGCAGGACCCCTGCACCAACTGCCATTATCTGCCAGATACAGCAACCCTCTTCTACTGGCCGGTGACCACTACCGGCGGTGATCTCTGTAATCAGAATGGAACCACCGTGCCTGCCACCCCAACTGGAAACGGCCCCAACACTGCAGTTGTGAACGGCCATACCTTCATATCCCCAAGTATCTATGTATCCTTCACCAGCATATACGCCCGGAGCAACAACCGCGCACACCCAGGTGGCTCCTGCGGCGGCGATTACGAGGACGTGATTATTTCCGTCAACCCAGAAGCCGTGACATCCTACCGTAACCACATCAATGCGAAATATCCAAGAATCGGCACAGCCTACCCGTTCAACTTTGCCGAGTTCCAGCCGCATGTCGTTGGGAACTATTCCCTGCCGCTGATTCCATGGGACCAGTACCACGGTGGATCCCAGTGTATCAAGGGCGGAGACGTCTGCAGCATGATCCGCAACGATTACCTCCCCTGGATGGAGATCCCGGACGTGATGACCCAGATTGATCACCGGTGGACGGAGTGCCATCGCTCGTGGTACATTCCGCCGGTCAGCTTGGTTCCGCTGATCGGTGGGCTTGCGTCACAACCTACCGGAGTGGCTGAGGCGAGTATTGCTCGAGATGCATCTGAACCTGCAGTACCTCAGTCGGGGCTGGCTGCTCCCACCCCGGAGGCTACTAGCAATGGTCATGGCCGGTGATGCATGCACAGGTGCATGCAGAATGCAGCACACTGTTGGTTACGGCAAGGCTATAGTTAAATGACAAAGAACCATTAAAAGCCGCATGCTTGAGAATGGTCCCTGGTTTAATACTGTAATCAAGCTAAGCAGCAGTGCGATCTATGCTGACTGGTGATCGAGCAAATAATGCAGGACCATTGGTCTAGAGACGCACCCTAGTAATGAAAAGTTGGAACATAAAGAAGTAAACGAGCTCTCCAAATCCTGATCTTTGCATCACCAGAATCAACAGTAGGTTCTTGTTATCCACCACCTTCCTCAAATTTCAAGTGAGCACCATTTTCCCTGGTAAAGGGCCTTGAACTCATCATGAATACTCTTTTTGAAATTCTCAACCGTCCTCTGGGGCGTCCAAACAGACACTTCCCGAGCACGGTCCGACTTGGTACGAGCACTGCATATAGACATGAGCATGTATTGTCGTAACATGTATTGTCGGGATAATAGCAAGGATGAGTCTCACTTGGATGCAAAAGCCAACTCTACCACCGCCTCGTCGAATCCGATTGCCTCTGCTCCCTTTTGCAACGACAGACTCCTCACCTCATCCGTTTCAAAGACACCAAGAGCCTTCTCCTTTGCAATCTCCTTCGATATCGAGAAATGTAGTCTCCCCCGCCTCGGAGCAGTAGATCCCTTGACTGGTGGCCGGAATGTCTGTCGTTTTTGACCCGACTATCTTCTCGAGAATAAGGAGATATAAGTTTCACCAAATCCTCTACTCTGTCAATATCCGCAGAGCACCGGGCTATGCTAATCACCACTGAGGATTAGCCCAGCTTGTCCCTAATTACTAACAGGTACAAATGTAGCTATGTTACAAAGCCTTTAGTTCACTATGTACCTTTTGGCTGCAGTGCTCCATTCTGCGTTCTTGTATCATTAGTAATCGCTCTATTGGAAGGGAGATTAGTGAACAGCCCGAGATGTTGGCTGGACAGTCTTACCTCGCAATGCTAACAAAATATATTATTATTCATGATTTTGGGGCCTGTGTCCAAGCTTACGCAGCTGGATGTCTCCAGACTTCTATCACCGCAGGTTGTGTGAGGTATTTTAGTATCTGGGGGTTGAATGGGTGCTAATTGCGGTGGTTATTGGAGGTTGGCTGTACATATATATATCCGCACCCCTTTCATGCCAGCCCATCACAAACATATTTATTTCTTTGCAACTACGCAACTACTAGACGTCCTTATCTGATATTGGAATCATATACATAGACTGTAAATCATAGGACGCTAACCGAACCCACTGCGGGTTTCCACCCTCCACCATCAGTGCAACTCTCGAAAGTCCCATCCCTTAGCGGCGTTGTCAGGATACTTCCGTGTCAAGTTACCAACAAAAGTGATTATCTTACCTACAAGGTTTTGCTGAATGTCTGAATGCTGTCATTAAACTCCCTATCTTTTCTGGCTGCTCGCTCTTGGGGAAACCAGTCATGTTTAAATCTGGCATCCCCAAAGCTCTCCAGGTGCAACCGGATTTTACTAAAACGCGCTATATCAACCGCCCTGGACACCGACGATTACATTGGCCAGTCTGATCGTAACAATAAAATCCAACGGGTATCTCACGAAGAGACACGGCCCCCACGGTGGGCTTGCCTTGCCACGTGAGTTCACTTGATCGCTCCTTCTCTTGATTACATACTACTTCGTCAGGGCTGGTGACCAAAGATTCATATTGAAGTATATCCATCCTATAATTTTTGAAGATCTCCGAAGCATGAACAATAGACTACGCGGCGGCAGCGCCAGCCATGTTCGTCTTGCCCAAGACATCATCCCGGGGAAATCAATGTTTGAGTATGAATACTTTGCAGATCATCTTCTACACCTCGCAACCAGAACCTCATGAGCAGGATATTATCCATACAGGTAGGTCACATCTTTCCCGGAGGGGTGCGCGGCGACTGATTCTGGGTAGACATTGAGGCGGACAATGTTTTCGTCGACTGGAAGGATCACCATGATGGCATCACAATTGAGAGAGTATAGCTCGGTGATCTTGAAGACGCCGCTTATATTCCTCCAGGATGTAATATGATTGAAAAATAGACAGGAAACTGGATGTGGAGGAGTCCTGAAGCCCATGCCCAAGGACCTGTGAATAAGCCGTCTGATATTTTCTCCTTTGCTCTAGTTGTAAGTTCCTACCCCAGTGAGCACTGGCTTCTAAGAGGGTTATTCACTTATCATACAGTGCATTTTTCGTGCTGCATAAAGGGATCATGTTTGTTGTCGGCCAAAAGAGGAGTTGGACGAGGGTGTGGATCCCTTGGCCATTGTAGTTGAGCGCCAGATCTCCTACTTTGCGAATGAAGATGGACTGAATGGGCTTTTGACACATCTTGGCGATAGTTCCTGGTTCGCGTTTTCGAGGTGATTCGGGACGGGTTTTATAATGAAAACCCGGTCAGACCATTCGCCCTGTGGAAGGGGGTTGACGACGATTTCAGATGGTTTATTCGCGCCGTGACGAATTTCGAACCAGAAAGGAGAATATCCGCCCCCAGGCATTGGCACATAAATGGTTTGAAAGTGGTGAGATCAGCGGAGAAGCAGAGTTCAACATCTCACCTTAACCTCTCTGAAGCCATATACGGCTACTGTAGCTCTAAATCAGATTCCTTGGAGCGGCCTAAGAATTTACTAAGCCTTGAAAAGACAGCAGTCACAAACGAACAGGCAACCTCTTCACAATGGCTTCTCTCAACGCACCGACATCGTCCACCATTTCAATTCCGTATTTCTCGCACACAATCTGCACATTCCCCCTCTTCCAGTATCCCTCAGGACAGACTACAATAGCCTTCCCCGGAATCCGCGCACAGATGCCCAGCTCTAGCAAACTGACCGGCGCCTGGGTAGCAGGATGGAAGTAAATAACGACAATATCGGCCTTGTCCTGCTTGTCGAGCTCCCACTCCACCTGCTCGCGGAAAGGAGGGAAATCGATGTCCTCGCGCCACGAGCTGTCCCAATCACTGCGGTAAGGATTGTATATTGTGACTGGCAGGTCGGAGAGGGACATCGATAGGGTCTCACGCCAATCGCTCGTGTCGACTTTGTTGGTAGTGCCGGCCAGGAATATGGACTTTACGCCGCGGGAAGCTTCATCTGATGGTGCGTAGATGACCTGGCTCTTGGGCTGAACCATCCTAAAGGACGAAAAATAATTTTTGGGAGTTGCATGAAGGTCGCCTTACAGCGGGGAATAGGTAGATCAGTCGGTGCCCCAACTGCAGTTGACAACTTGACGTGATTATTAAGAGTATTCAAGGTACCACGGGGAGGTGCGGGGAAGTTCTGGCCAGGTGGTGCGGGGTAGAAGAACGCGATGGACTTCCAGGGCAACTCTCTCCGCCTCTCCACTTGCTTCTTTCACTAGGCAAAAGAAGTTGCAGGGTGATGGCGACACCGAAGAAAAGAAGTCGACTGGTTGCTGGCTGGTGCGTCCACTAAAGTTATTCTACCCGTGCGATGACCAATGGCTTGCTGACGACTTCCTTCAGTCACAGATGCAGGGGTGAGTGTCCATCAATTAGTGCAGACAAGAGACAAAAGAGCCTGCCTGTTGTGTATTCGACGTGCTGACTGGATCTCGACAGCCCGTCATCTAAGATGTACGTAAGCCTGCTATTGGAAGAAGCTCCGATCTCACATATCCAGCTTAATAGGCGACACGAAAACACCAGCCTGCGACAACTGCAGAACTGCCGGCGAAGATTGCGAGAGATTTCTCAACATTCGTTTTCGAAATGGGCTAGACTTTGTCAAGGACCAGGATGTGACGTTCCCTGAAAAAGGTCCCTGGCCGTCTCTGACGGGGCCCAGTAAGTCAATCCCATCACTCTTTGATTCGATCCTGACTTGCAAGGTGGAAAGTCCGATTCTACGATGAGACCCCTGAGACTGAAAGTCTTTACATAACAAGCAACTCATCACCATCTTCTCAAGTCCGCCATGATACAGGCTACTCAGACGGCAGCCACTGCGGTCTGCCAGGGTCGGATGTCCGCGAACAGAGACCATACCAGACTCTTCCCGAAAAGGACACACCCGTGACACAACAGATCTTTACTCCTGCCAGCAGACCAACCTACGGTGCGTTTCTTTACGTTTGACGGATCTTGCTCCCACATTTCCATTGTGCTGACCGCGGCCAAAGCAGCTTCAAATATAGGAAGTCCCGTCGCGCATCTCGGGTATCCGGATGCCGAATGTACAACAGAGCTGCGTCGTGACTCGACTAGTTTGACTGATTTTGCGAGGTCACAAACGCATACTTCTCTTAGTGCAAGGGAGGCTGTCCTCTTCCGCAATTTCGTCGATAATATGGCTTTGTGGGTTGGTGTTCCTGCAGATATTTGGTTTCCCTTTTTGCTGAGCCCTTTTCTCTTATGAGGAATGTTAACATACTATAGACAGACATTACAGACCCTCAGAGACACTTTGAAATAGTGGCTCCGGCGCGAGCTCTCCACGAGCCAGTATTACGCGCCGCAATCCTTGCGTTTTCGTCCCGTCATATCAACAGACAAAGACCGGATGGCGACACAGAGTCACTAAAGTACCACAACCAATGCCTTGAGCTTCTCATTCCAGCCTTGTCGTGCAATGACAATGAGATTACCGAGGAATTACTAGCCGCCATCGCAATTCTCCGTCAGAATGAAGAAATGGATCGTAAGTTCTATCCTGGCAATAACCCACTTCACCTGCTTATAGCATTAGCACAGGACAACCAGTTCCATTTAACGGGAACGACAAGAATATTAAATACAATGTCCTCCTTTGGCTCCTCCGGAGGATTAGGTGAGGCAGCCGCTTGGCTGTGCCTTCGCGAGGACATGTACATATCACTCACGTCACAGTCGCCATTGCGGACAGATCTTCATAGCTTCGAGCGCTCGGATGTCTTCACCAGAACCGACGACTTTGCTTGGTCCAACCGGATGGTGTTTCTGTTGGCCAGAATCTTGAGCTGCGCTTTCAACGAGGAGAACCGGACGAGAGGTTTTTATGCTTCACTCAAGGCTCTAGAGAAAGAGGTCGACTATTGGAATGCGTCCAAACCGCAGACATTTCATCCCGTCCATTTTGTTCCCCGAGGAAAGGATTCTGGTCAACGGTTTCCAACTATCTGGACGCTGTTGCCAGTCCATGGTATGTACACACCCTAATATCTCAGCATGCGCGCTGACCCGACGCAGTTGTTGGTTTACAGTATTACTACATTGCAAAGATTATACTTGCTTTGTCTGGTTGCTCGAATCCATCTCTCCCATACGAAACCCTACAGCGTTCACGGGACGTTGAAGTACGTCAACACTGAATTTCCACATAAAAGTAAGCGACTAATTTAGTCAGAAACTTGTCCGGGGCCATCTTCTCAATGTGCTGGGCTTAGCTGCGTCAAACCCTAGAGCTGAAAACACCCTTTTCACTGCACGGCATAGTTTAGTCGCTTGTGAGTTGTGCTCGCCATGCTTTCTTCTTTCAATGAGTTAGGACTGATCGTCTCAGGGGGCTGGATACTACGGCATAAACTAGATCAAGAAGCTGCTGAAGGGCTACTACGGTATATGGAGTTGAAGACTGGCTGGAATACGTCCCATTTGATAGATTCTCTGAGAGAGCAGTGGAATAACGAACATGCCGATGACTAAACCATGCCCTTGCACTTCGCCGGAGTTATTCTGAATGCACCTAACCTTCTTATGTCATAACCTACAGGACCTCTTTCTAAGAGTGGAGCGTGTATAGGCAGAGCCATCCTTATTATATGCAGAGTATACTGAGGTAAGTTCCTATATGTCGTCTTATCGTTAGATGTCTCATAAGGTACCAGTGATAGATTTCATAATATGCGCCCATTCGCGCATACTATAAAACAAAGGCGTATAATTAATGATCACGCTTCTTCAGGGCGGTCCTGATAAGGGCAGATCTTATCCATCCACTCCCTTTGCTCCTCACTCTCAGCTAACGACATGAACTTTTCCTTTTGCATGTAGTTTGTCTTCTGCATATTTTCATAACCTTGGGGATCGACGATTCCATCAGCTGGCAGGATCCCCGCTTCTTGAAACTCTGCCATTAGTCGCTCAACGTAATCACGGTTCTCCATCTTCTCCTCGTGCAATTTCTTTTCTTCTTTCTGTAAAGGAAATAGACGATCAACTGCAGATTCCATTTCCGTCCAATGATCCGCCACAGCCATCAACGATGCGCGAAGCCGGAACTACTTCTCTCGATGACCAAGCCCCCGTTATTGCTTTGATTGGTTGGGCGAGAGGTGGCTTCCCAGTACCATTACGTCGTATAACAGCATAGTGTTGGGGATTTCGCTTAGCAGTTAGAACTTCGTAATATTTACAGGGCACTTTCGTAGAGCTTGTCTGCCCTCAGTCTATCTTTCTCGGGTAAGGACTTGTAATCCTCTGGTTTCTCTGGCAAGACCCAACTGAGGGAAGTGGGTTAGGGTGCTGGGCCATCCGGGGTACCCTGGCTTGCAAGATCAGGGGCGCAACTGTCGTATGTTGCCAATCGATGATATCAGTCATGGTTCCTGTATTGAGGCCGACGTAGACGTTGTTGAGGTGGAGGTCGCTGTGCCATACCGTTTGTTGTAAAAGGTCCGCAGAGCCAGCGTCATAGTCATATTGCGTTAGGTGTGGAATAACTCGCAGGTACTTCTCAATGAGGTCTATGTATTCGCTAGGCATCTCGGGATCGGTGTTGCTGCGGTAATGGTTCATGCGTGGCTGTGCATTCTGCATTGTCCACATCCTCTCATTAATTCCTAAAGTTGTCGCATAATCGGAAAGATTGCGCCCTGTTATACGCCACGAAAGTCAGAAGGGATACTATTTGATTTGGGAAGAGGAACTTACAAGAACCCCAATACAGTGTCATCTCGGCGCAGCCAGATCAGAAACTGGGTCCACGACAGGGCCAATGCAGAATTTACCCAAATCGTCTGCAGGGGTTCACTTCCAAATCCACCACCTGCCTTATATAGCTGTGCTTAGATGAACTGGGAAGCTGATACCACACATTGCTGAGAGCAGTCCCTTTTGCCTTTTCCATAATGATGTATTCACTCCCAACAGGGTTCGAGGGGTCACAACTCCAGCTTAGCATCCGGGGAACTTGTATACCGATAATATCTCGTACCTTGCACTGTTAGCTTTGGTATGTCTGTCTGACGAGTTCGAATTTAAATAGTCCATGGCTGCAACTTCACTGGCGGTGGTGAGGACCTTTGGTCCTGCATTAGGATTTGGCAGCTTTGCGACCACTTGAGAACCATTGTTGAATGTAAGAAGGAAGGTTTATATTGTCCCTCTCGATATTCCATCATATGGGTGCCTGAAGATTTTATTACACAAACTATGGGCTGGAGAAATCTGGGCGCATACATCTCTTCCTATCTATACCACTAGATCGTGCGGCAACAGCAAGAAGCTCCCAGTTATTGAAACATCGATGTCTCTCTGAAGCTTCTGGGGTATCATTTGATCTGCTTTGAGTCAATAAATAGCCAAGAGCAGCATTATTCGCAGATATACAGCCATCGCTTGGTGGTATATTGGTAAAAGCCTTCTTCACTGGCTTCAATCACTATAAATACCATGATAGCAACATGTCCAATAGCAGAGATCCTAGCGAAGCTTCTCACCGGTACCATCACTTTTCTGCAAGTACAGTAACGTAGAGTGCGTCTCTTAATGACGGTCCCTGGAAGGATTCGTTTGTCCGCGAAATTGGCGGTAGGGAGGTCCGAAAGTGTATTTTCTTGCGACCGCGAAGGAGATATTCCATAATCGAATCCTCATAATGTTTCCAGCGAAGATGTTGCACAAGGGGTTTGTTTACTGCAGCTAGTTCGTGGGATCTTGTTATCAAATCAATTGACCCGCGAGCAGACAAACGATGTTCCAATCAACGAGGTCAACCGTTATCGCCACAACTATTTGCGCCACTTGTTCGGCTAGAGGGTCCCAGTCGACATCTCACCTTTTTCTCTCTGAGGTCGTCGAATGAAACAACTGACGGGAAGGGAAGGCTAAGGCCCGGGCGGGAGAACCCGGCGATCAAAGTCCCGCTCTGATGCTCTTTTAAGGCCTTAAGGGAGGCCACTGACCAGTTGGCACGCTGGTAAAAAGGTTTCGTAGAAACGGAGTTCGAAGCCCAATCCGACCTATTTGACATGTCCAGTTAGGGCAAATATGAAAGAACAGGCCCAGATGCAAAACTCAGCCTATGAGTAGCTGGTATAGTCGATCAACTTTGGGCTTCTATACCTTATCGGACTACCAGTCCAACGTCTGCATTGGGTATAGGAGTGGACACGATGATGGCAGGGAATACCATGTTTTGTACAATTCATGCAGTGCGTCGCTGCGTGGATAGCCAATCGTCACAGCATGAGACGTTTTGATGGAACTAAATCCTTGCTTATGTGTGTCCACTGCTATTGGGAATCCTGATTCCGGACGACCAATCCATTGTGTCCAGTCGCTGCGTCGGGAGTGTGGAGACGCCAAAATACGCTTATCTGGTGGTACAAGGGATCGACGTTGGCTTTTACTGTAAGCTTGAGAATTTGAAACACAGCTGCCGTGCAATCAGATCTGGTCTGTGTGACTGCAAATCGATATGCATGCATGAAGGTCTGATAAGCGATCGCTGTTAACCACGTGTAGCCATCGGACTTGTTAAGCTTTGCCATGATCTCCCTGTATACTCACATGTGCCGGTTAGTCCGACAACGGCCGAGGGAGTAACTAGTGCCCTGTCTTTCCAGAATAGACTAGTAATCGCCTAATTTCACCCACGACTGCAAGCGAATTGCAACTGTCGGGTGGCACCTGACTCTTGCGTCCATTATGAGGTTGCGCTCAGGGACCGACGATCTTGGCAGCAGCCAACGAGACCAACAGTGAATGATATGGCTCGTTCAGTATGGATTTCTGCACTCCCTGCAGTTGAACTCGACCTCTCTCTTCTCTCTATCCGCAAATCAGAAATAAAACCTAGGCCTGCCTACCAACTATGGCCCCGTCTTTCCTGAGAAAATTGAGTCTTCGCCGCCGTCGCGATGACAACAACATCGAGTCTTCTCCGCATTCGGAAGTCCCAAAAATGCGGGGAGCAATCCAAGCACTTCCATTGTTGTCCACACAAAACAACAATCCCGAAAACAACCGGCATGCAGACGCTTATAAGGCAGAGAAGTACGATGCACTCTGCAGACTTCATGCTCAGCCTGCCAACGCATCCAAGTCCGACCCCGACCAATCCCCACAAGACACTCAAGCCCTTATAGAACCCGGCGTTGACCCCTCAGACCAAGAACCAGCCTTCACCTGGCAGGACGTTGAGCCACGGACGGATTTCAACCCACCATCAATCTTAGAATACTTCAATTACGAATTGTCACCTACCGAAAAGGATAATCTGCTCTATATGGAGACCCAACGGCAGTCCTCCGCGCGGAGCGCAGGAACAATACCGCAGCTCTCTACTGTGCCCGAAGCACGAGAGCTACGATCCGCGCTGGAGCGCGCAGTTCAGGCGAGAATGCTCGGGATTTCAACTACTTTACCCCCATACAACGAAGTGAGCGGTGCCGTGATCGTCAACCAGGAAGGCCTCCCGCACTTTCTCTCGCCGCAGGAGGAGGAGGAACGACAGGTCTCGTTGAGGCGCGCAGTCGAGGAGAGGATGTTGGGCCTTCCGCGTCGAACGAGCTTTACCTGGGCGCAATCGCATGGCCCTTCGTTACCGTCTTATTCGCCTGCGAGGTACAAGTGAGCGGTCTGAGCTTTATGTCGAATCAATATAACCGATTCGGATTCGGAGTTGAGGAATTAGGCGTTAAAGTTGACTTTTGTTTGCATTGTACAGCACACCTTGGCGTCTGGCATTCTTGTACATACCTTTCTTTGAATTGTGCTCGGTTCAGAGCATTGACGCGTTCGCTTATGAGCCTACGGGCTGGTCGGTTGCACCTTGACATGGGAATTGAGATAATATTTACCCTTAATATGCATTTCAGCAGGAGGCTTTGTGCAAAGCGCTTGCCGGTCCTGTAGGGAATGAAAACAATTGACACAACGCCGAGATATGTATAAACAATGTCTAACCGCTATATGCAACTTTTGATTGCCTCAGGTATATCCACTGACCGGCCGCCTACTAGCTGCGGAACAGCCGCAATCCAACCTCCTCGCGGTCCTCATCACTTTCCTCCGCAGCACTGGCATCCTCATCATCCCCCTCTCGCAATAACCCACTCGCCGTCTTCCCGAGCAAGGAGGCGAAGAACTCCTCGCGAGCGGTATTGGTCCACGTGCCGCGATCCTCCGGCGCCATAAAGTTCTGCAGCTTCTCGTGGACATCGAACCGCATCTTTCGGCCCTTGGAGGCCCGGGTGTCGACGTCCCGTTTCACCTTGTCCTTGCGCATACCTGTAATAGGGTGGATACCTTGCCGGGAAGGCAGCTGGAGGTGGAGGGTGTCGAGGCCGTTCGTGATGGCGTCGGAGGACGACATGCGCTGCTCGACGAGGTCTCGAAGCAGGGACTGGTAGAAGATGGTGTCGTCGTAGACGGGTTCGGGACCGTCCTCGGAGGAATTTCTCCGGCGCTTGGCAGCGCGGTGGCCTGTCTCCGAAGCGACCTGTGCGTCGATGACGGCGGTGATGGTTTGTTGACTGGCGGCGCTAGCGCCGAGGAGTTTTCCTCGAGCGTTGGGGAGTGCGGCGGTGGAACCGCGGACCTTCAGGGACCACTTGTCGAGCACGGCGCGGCGATGGCTGACGGCGTCGGCTTCGAGGTCGGTCATGCGCTTCCAGAGGGAGTCGGTGGATGTCGCGACGGACACCGCGGAGGGTCGCTTGCGTTTCTTAGACTCGTCCTGCGTTTGTGCGTCGGCTAGAGCGAGGCGCAGGTCTTCGAGGGTGGACCAAAGCGCAAGTGCGGCGGATTCGGCGGACTTGATGGCTTCGCCGTCGATGTTGGGCTTTTCGTCGCCCCCTTTTGCGGTGATGGAGAGCTGGTTGATCGCTGTCATGCCCTTTTGGAGTTTGATCCGTGCGTTGAGCAAAGCGTCGAAAGTCGCGCGCTGCTGCTTGACGGCCCGACCCTTGGCAGCGTCTGCTTTGGCGGCTTGGGAGATGGTGGCTGCGATTGTTTTTTGGTCGGTGGACATGAGTCGGCGCAGTTCCTCGCGGTCATCGGATTTGGAGGTTTCCTTAAATCGCACTTTGCGATTGTCGGTTTCCTCGTCCTCCTCCTCGTCCTCATCTTCATCATCGTCATCCTCTTCATCGTCGTCATCAGAGGGAAATTCTCCGTCCATGTCATCCTCGTCAAATCCATCTTCCGAATCGTCCTCGCTTCCTTCATCTTCCTCAGACCCGTCGGTATCCATGCCCTCTCCATCCTCCTCGTCGGAGGAAACCTCCAATTCCTTCATCTGCTGCTTGCCACCCTTTCCGGAGGTTTTGGATTTCCGTGGTCGCTCTTCTTCGCTTTCCTCGGATGAGTCTGCGTCCTCGTCGCTTCCTAGCTCAGAATCCTCCTCTTCCTCGTCGTCATTGTCCTCCTCCTCGTCGCTTGATCGTGCTCTGAAAGGGTCATCATCACTCTCGGCTTCGAGCGCATCCCGGCTAATTTTTGAGCCGGCATATTGTTTTCCAAGGTTAATTGGGTCCTGTTTGCGAAGCCTCGCCTTTCTGGTCGAAGTTAACACCTTGAAGACAATGATTACACACAGTTGAAAAAGTTGCACTCACCCTACAGCTTGGTAATGCTCTCGGCCAGCATTAGGATCAGCAGCTTCGGCACCTTCATCGTCACTGTCTGGCCCGGCGCGGTCCAAGTCTTCGGGGTCGAAATCTGATCGCATTGTTAACCTTGATTCAACAAGACAACCAATTTATCAAGAGCCAACCTTTAGGTGTAGGGTCTTCCAGCTCTGCGAGCCGTTCTGCAAGTGTTTTTGGCGCCATTTCGCGCCTTGGACGGGTTAAAGGTACGGAGATTATCGTCGATAAATTTTTGGTCAGACTCATTTTTTTATTTTTCTGCCCGTGATATTTTTCGGGAGGGCGGAATGCGGTGTCGGATAAACTATCCATTTCAGGTTGTAGGCTAACCCAATCAGGGAGGTTTTTCCAGGCGGTGTACCTTTCTCTGGCAGTAAATGATGTCCGTTATTGTTGCTTCTCTGCAACATTATTGAATCTGCCGTCAACAGCAATATGTTACAAAAGAGACTATTTGCGGCTCTTCGAGCTCTTCAACATGAAAACCCATTGGTAAACAACCGCTTTTACGACTTGGTTGATCGCAGATATTAATGTTAACAGGGTCTTCCGCGATCCGGCACACCACCGTCATTCCCGCGCCGCCGGGGGTTACCAGAAAAGCGCAAGATCCGTGATGTCAAAAAAGTGATTGCGGTATCATCGGCCAAGGGTGGTGTGGGCAAATCTACCATTGCAGGTACGCAATTTTTGCTTAGATACCATCCGGATAGCTTCATATCAGCAGTTAAACATCCACGCATGATATTTCCGCAGATTACTGACTTTCCTGCGCCAGTGAATCTCGCTTTATCTTTAGCTCGCCGTGGGATCCGTACGGGTATCTTGGATACCGATATCTTTGGTCCCTCTATTCCAACTCTTCTTAACTTGTCTGGTGAACCCCGCCTAGACGAAAGTAAGACTATATTTGAGGCACATGCCTTTGGATCGTAAGAGCTAATCCGCGGACTAGACAACTGCCTCGTACCTCTGACTAACTATGGCTTGAAATCAATGTCAATGGGCTACCTCCTCCCACAGCCAAAAGCGGACCCGTCGCAACCTGCGGGCAACATTCCCATGGACACCACTCCTATCTCATGGCGTGGTCTGATGGTCACCAAGGCCATGCACCAACTTCTCCATTCCGTCTCCTGGGGCCCTTTGGATGTGCTGGTCCTGGACTTACCCCCGGGGACCGGTGACGTACAATTAACAATCGGCCAAGAGCTTGTCGTAGACGGCGCCCTGATTGTAACCACGCCACAGGATATCGCTCTGCGCGACGCCGTCCGCGGCTTTGGCATGTTCGAGAAAATGAACATCCCCGTCCTTGGCATGGTTCGCAACATGGCCTACTTCGCGTGCCCGCAGTGCGGTCACCAAACGAAGATCTTTTCCCACGGTGATAGTCATGGCCATGGCTCAGAGGACTCAGGCGTGGTCACCGAGTGCAAGCGCCTAGGCGTTGAATTCCTCGGGGATATCCCTCTAGACGCTAAGGTCTGCGAGGACGCTGATCGTGGAGTGCCTACGGTGGTCTCAGAGGAGAGTGATGACCGCAGCGTAAGGCGCAAGGCTTTTCTTGATGTTGCCGAAAAGGTGGCGCGAAAGATTGGTCTGGAGTGGAGTTGATGGTAATTGCCATGTTATTTGTATAATAAATATACCCGACTGTCTTCTTCTTATGGGATATACCGATGATTCGTTTCTTTATAGTGCCCGTAACTTAGGTAGACGTCAAATGCCTCGCACAGCATGGATAAGTGTCTTGATCTTGGACAAATCACGGCAGGAACCAGCTCTTGTCTGGGATTCTATGGCTGGATATTGTGGCTTGTGAATAGGATCTTCTCTCTTCATGTTGGCACAGCGGGCTGGGATTTACAGCTCTGCCTTGGACTTGATAGCAACTGAAGGATTTTTTCTACGGATGCTCCAGGGTAGTGTACTTGGCTATTTGGACCACATGTTTGATTGGAATGTGATATATCAGGTAAACGGATGGCAGACAGGATATGTAATCCTGCCGGGTGTTCACTTGATGAGAATTCAGACAAAGTTTGTTTCCTGTTCCCCTCTGATAGATTTTATATTCAATCAAGCAGATCTCTCTGACGATCAGGCAGCAGATAAGCAGCAAGCCTCTTTACGTCTTAGGGACTTACCTGTCAAAGATCATCAGTCAATGGTCATATTTTGCAGATATTGATGGAACAACCAGTCTTTTGATCTTGGTTTACCATGTTTATTGAGAGTAATCAAACATATAATTTTACTCCTTGGCATTATGGGATATCATATAAGTAATTTTGAGTATGGAAGAAGAGAGAGGAGTACACTAGACACAACAAGCGTTTTAATAGCCACCTTATGTCAAATATAACTCCTTAGTAGCTTGGTAATGACCTGTTGAAGTGGGATGCCCTGAAACAATGCAAATTATAACCATAAGAAGCGTGTTAAGATTCTTGGGCCATAAACTTATTCTAGAGAGCATGGAAGGAAAGAGAAGTGTTGAAGCAGGCTTGCTCCTGTCATCAGGAACCCCTATGAGTTAGTAGTTAAGGACGGATTAAACTTAACATCAAGCTGTATGGTCTTAACACAGCTGAGTTGACTGATAGATGGCTAATAGGAAGTTATATACTGGCATTGTGTGTAACTCAGATACAATGAATCAAAGGAAGTATGAATAGTCGCAGATCTTAGTGCTTGGAGAGCTAAAGGGTATTAGTAGGTACTCTCTAGTATGGAGTGGGAGTAGTATAAAAGATCTTAGAAAAGCAAATATGGCATCATGGTTATAGGGAGGTTAATTATGCCCCTTAGGCTTCAAGAGGGTGTTCAAGCAATTATTTCTAAGTCCATTAATGACTTGTCTCTTAGTGAAGCAGCTTGATATTCTCCCCTCCATGCCTCAAACTTCTGCTCCAACCATAATCTGCGCTGAGGACATAGCCCATGCTGCCATGACGTATATCGGCATTTGTGATACAACAAAATCTCCCGGCCCTAGATTCCTGACCTTGGATCACGCAGATTCAAGAACATTCTTGATGACGCAGCTTGAAGCAGGTCCAGAGATTCAGCATACCACTGTCTACATCCATGATTTTTATTCTCAATTTCTTGGGTGGCTACAGCACAGATACAGACATTTCTCCAGTGAAATCCATTTTTACTAAGTTGTCATTCAACAGTCACATTCTACTTCGGCAAAGTCCCTGTCCTCCTGTGTTACCGTGGCTTTCCCAGTCTTGGGCTCCATGTACTTGACTCTTCCATATCTAAAGGCCGCATTTGATAGGTTCTGTCTGGTGTCACCATAGCAAAGCCCGCCCCAAACAGCTGTCGCAGCTTTTTGGCAGTTCAGGCAGCGTTTCGTGGTGAGACGAACCGAGAGACGACGATAGGGCTGAGAGGGTCCTGAGCTGTGTACTAGGTGTAGCTGTTGCAACCACCCAAAGCCTGCGGAACAAGCGGTATGCTGAGCAGTAGATATTCAACTAACTAATTTTAAACTATTGATTAGATGCAGGTAGCCTAGTCAGGTATGGCTAGTAGTAGATCCAGAAGTTTAGGTTGTCAGTTAGAGAGAGAGGGCCAGAGGGGCATACGCTATAATCATAAGAGAGAAAGAACATTAGTAATTACATCCGCAATAAGATATGCCTCTCTTCGGTATGAAATGAGGTCTATCATCTGGGCTCTGACACGACAAGAAGCCCATCTTTCAAACAATAATACCATGATGTAGGACATTGCGATATGCATTGTAATGACCAGGGGACAGCCATAACATGATAAAGATGAATATGGAAATGCCCATCGAAAGAAATGCAGAGTCCGCTGGAACTTGAGCTCCGAGGTCCAAAAGAGGGTTATTTCGGCGGACACGGCATCCTTATTTGCATAATCTAAGCGAGAGAGTTTACGGAAGAGAAAGGATATTTGAAGTTATGAGTTGGAATTTCAACTCCTTCCCTAACTGGTAGTTAGTTGACACATTTACGCAAACAACTTATCAGAGCAGTAACAGCCAAAGCCAAGCAAGTGGGACTGTTTCTGTCAGCCTTTTTGGTAATATGTCTTACATATAACTAAAGAATGCAACCGTAGATGACACATCAAGTGCACTATGAATAAGATTGACAAGGTTTGAATGCTTACCGCAAGCAGCACAGACAACTCTCTCATACATCATCAAGATATGACCATGGGGAATCTACAAATGGTCTATCTATAGAAAATTTCCCTGACCTTGTAGAAAGCAGTGAAAAGACCAATCTACTTTACTAATCTCCTGAGGTCATCCGGAACCCTGTTATGGTTCAGTCACACACCTTAAAACACACTGGCAATGCATTTATAATAATAAGACTTATGTAGCAGCTAATAAGGAAAGATCTAGCTTAAGTTACCACGAGCCCCTAGTTAGGAAAGCTTATCATTGGTTAACATCTATCTTTCTTGACTAAATCTTTGTTCAGCAATATGCAAACGATTCTACATGAGTCATGGGCTTAAAGGTTGGTTACACAGGCAACAGGAAGGTAGAAAGGAGACCCACAATAAGGTGCTACTGTCAGTAAAATTAGATTAAAATCTGCAATGAATGTAGGTGAGGCTATGCTGGAAAATCTACGGCGGTCTAGACTCTAAAAGTTCTGCACTGTTATGGTAATCTAATCTGCAGAAGTCAGCCCCCTAGCTTAGTCTACATACCAGGGCTGGATGCCTTCAATTGCCTTGGGACAATGTGGCCAGTTATATCTCAAAAGGAAGCTCAGCCTGAATAGTTCTTATTATTATTTTTATTTGTAGTGGTAGTAGTATTATGCATTCGCTGACCCCTCGTCCTCAATTGACCCCCAAGTCATGTGACAGCCGTGCCCTATTGAGAGTTGGCAGCCCATAAGCGTCACTCCGCTAGATAGCATCAAAACAGGTACCGTATATATAAATAATCAATACATTTGTACATCAGCTCAGCGTTCTAACTTTCTAAGCAATATGCATGTTAGCCGTTACTCTATCCTTGAGTGTTTCTGTGTGTATACTTACATTTCAATACAATAAGGGAGAGAATAGGGTTCATTTCGTCAGGTGTAGTTCTAGATGATGTGTCAGAGATGGATATGGACCTCTAAATTCCACAAAGAGGGATCACCATCCGGCAATCTCATGATAATGCTACTGGATGTCTCCAAGCATGGCTGCGGATAATGCGGTAGCAAGCAAGGTATCCATTAATTAGGTAGGTGAGGCGAATTCCCAAAGTAAGCAGTAAATTATATCAACAAGTTCGAATGGGCAAAGTCAAGCCATTGTATACAGTTTGAACCCGAACCGACCATGATGGACTCGGATCTTGTAGCTATTCATATTTGATCCATATCCCAGATCCGGTGTGCGATTGCCTTGGAGTTAATTCTCCTTCACACTTAGCTTCTCCAATAAGAGTCGTAGCATTGGATTTGTCTCGTTTGTGACCTTCTCAATCCGGTCAATTTCACTTATGATCGATCTTTCCAGTTGCATCAAGAATTCCTGACAGTGCTGGAATGTCCCACTGGTGTTGAGGTAGTCGACAATGTATTGCTTTATCTCGGGGCCCAGCGGCTCCCTTCCGCTGGTAATGGCGGTAGGCCGCTGCCGGAAGACCCCGTCAATGAGGTCTCTGAAGTCCGCATGGTTCGCAACACAAACGACAATTGGATACGAAAACTTGCCCTCATCGAGGTCTTCGCAAAATCCTTTCTGCTCGGTATATTGGCCAGAGCGAAGGTTCATGTAATCATCACGAATCTGGAAGAACCGCCCAAACAGGATGGTTAGCCCGTCCAGATTAACCTTGGTGGTACCTTTCTTTTCGGCCTGCATGAGTCTCAGCAGAAGACGAAACAGGCCCCCGGTTTTGTTGTCGACCATATTCAAATACTCAGCGGGAGACGGGCATCGGAGCTTGTATTTCCAGTCCAGATCCCAACTCTGCCCCAGATAAAGGTTCTCCAGTTCCTCGAGCAGAATATCAACGGCGTTGGGGTTGCGGAACTGGCGGGCGACTTGAACGGCCTGGACAAACATGAAATTGGCGCTGTTAATCGCTTGAGAATGGCCGAAGATAGTGTGTGTGGCTGGCCTTCCTCGTCGCTTGGGAGAGTGGTCTTCGATGTCGTCTAGAATCAGAGACGCGTTATGGAGCAGATCGACCAGCTGCCTAATTTTGGTCAAGGAAGTCTCGTCCACCTCAAGCCAGTAATTAAATGCTTCGATCATCCTGGATCGGACCCCCTTTGAGGGCATGGAACAGATGTAATTAATTGGCGCTTGGAGGGCTGTTCTTGCGGGCTTGTACCACAAATGCTCTAACTCCTGGGACCCTTTGCTGCGACACTATACCACTTTATTAGAAAATGCTCACTAGAATGTGCAGGGAGGAAAAGGTAGAGCATACTTCCCAGGAAAGCCTCGTCTTTGCCTCATCAGATTGGAGGAGCCTGGCTCTCTCGTCTTCTATATCGCTGAATAGGCTTTCGCACTGTGCAGCGGCCCTTGAGAGAAGTGCTAATGCAGCCCGCCTGGCATGTCGGCTATCTTGTTTACCCAGTGACAATTTTGCATTCAGCTGCATGACGTCTTGTTCAATTGTCGGACACATTTGGGTCCGTGTGCCGTTGTTCGAATTCTGCATCTGCTCTTCAGACCCCTTGGATGAATTGAGATTGTCACTGGAGGTAATTAACGCTGAGGCTGCCAGATGGTTGGCGGGCTCTAGCCCATTTCTTGAGTTATTGCGCCAGGCATGGTGACGGGGAGAGCAGCTGGCCCAAAAGTGAGTACCAGCGACGGTAGTCCCCACCACTTCAATCCATTTTCTCAGATGGGAGGGAAGCGATGGGTTTTGGGCATAAATTGCCCTTTTCCGCTCAAGATATTGCTGTTCCAGATTGACGAGGAGCCGGCGAACCGTGGCCTTTGCCTCATCTATAGAGATATTCTCAGTCTGACGAACCACTTCTACCACATTAGTGAGTCGACTCCCGTTGGTTATGGACTCATGGTACTCCCGATCGAAGCTCCAGTAATCGTTGGTCCAGATGATTGCCTTATCAATGGGTTCCATAACTGGCTCGATCAGTCTCTTGTCTTCATCGGACAGTCGCATGGCCATGCCAAACTCCACCATCGGCCAGAACGCCCTGATTGGTTAAAGTAGGTCAGCGGATGGAGGGTCCAAGTTGGGCGATGGACATTGGTGAGGGTATACCTGATGCCGAAATCATCCCTTCTGTAGGCTTGGTATTCTTCCAGGGAGTTAAACTGAGGCACCTTGCCCTCCCCCCCGGCAACGGACAGCCATCCTTTGTTATACATGTCAAACATGTACATACCCAGATCACGGTCAATACGTATCGCCTCAAGTAAGATTTGCGACACGAGCTTCTTTAACTTGGCAGCACGGGTGCCTCGGCGTGACGGCAACTGCTCATGGGGGTCAAAGAGGGCACCGAATTCACGATGTTCTGTCCTTGCTTGATCCATATCCATTGCCTCGTACCCATCTACCCCCTGATCAGCTATTTCCGACGCCCTTGCTTGCTGTTCTAATTACTAACCATCATGCAGCATCCCTAGATCGGTCAAGTAGGTCAAGATCGCCAGTCTCTCTGGAGCCACCTCTGGGTAGGCAAAAGCACCCAGGTTCCCGAGGTCGCTGATGGAGACCAGTGCTCTCTCCGCCAGGCCATCGTGCAGATAATGGTCCCAGTCCCGCAGAGCTCTTCTGGTGGCTGCATCCGCGACATCGTTTTGCTGATTTATACGGATTGGTAAGGTGGTAAATGATGGCGTCTTCTTGATTGTGTCGTCAGATATAGGACGGGAATGCTCCCAGACCTCCATTGTGCAAGAGTATGAGCCAGGCAATTCTGTACAGAGAGAAGTGAATTTTTGAAGATCGTCTAATGGTGGAATAGTAGTATTTAATCACAGCATTAAAGCAAGGAGCCACTGTTGAGTCGCCGTGTCTCAGGTTACACAGGCTGCTGACTGGGGTCTCTCGTTCGCCACGGCGTGCTCCTGCCTATTGCAGAAGACAGGGCCTATATACCCATTAAAAAACATTCAATTCTAGGTGGACAGTGAAGGCGTCATCTAAATTCAAAACAACCTGCGGCCCAGTGCTGAGACCTGCAGCATGTTCTAGAACCATTTATGCATGACTCGCAAATCTGTTTGCGGCGAGATCGCACATCAATGTAGTATTGATGTAGTTACGTTAAGAAGCAGAAAGTTCATATTCATGCTTATACATGTTCTTTTTTATTTTTACCTCCTCTCTCTGAAAGCGCATGGACGGGGTCAATCATAATAGGATATACGGGGTATCACGAACCTAGTGTTGTGGTATCGCCGAGGGCAGTGCATTCGGGACGGACCCAACAAAACACGTGAGAAAATCCAGTTGGATATTATATACTTAGATGTAGATAGAGTCTAACTGGTCATAATCTAGAGACATTTGCTGACCGTCTGCGGAAAGCAAGGTTACAGCCAGGTTGTTATTCAACGTTGTACAGGAATCTACTTTGTCCACCCTGGACCTATCATATCGAGTCTGATCCATACGCCACTCATCCATCTTAGGGGTGATATTATGACGAGGGGTCTATTGATAAATATCAAAGCCATCACAGTGCCCTTTAAACCCTTGGCTTTAAGCTCTTTATGTAATGTGCAGTGGTATTTTCAGAAGCCTGCAGCATTACCAGGTTACTGGCTTGTTCATCCCTAGCTATTGAGGCCGGGAGTGCGGAATCACATTTAAAAGCCGAGAACAAGGCCATTAATTGATGCTAATACCTTGGGTGAAGCTCAATCATTCAGACCCATTTTCTCTCCCGAAATCTCTCTCACATTCGGTTGACAACATTATGGACGCACCGCACTACATGACTATGACAGGAATCAGTCCTGAAAAAGTTGCCATTATGGCATTTTCACTGGTATGAGCTAACCTCTCACGATGTACTGTCTCATACTGACGAGTAAATGTCTGTCTGGTAGGGCACGGGAGTGGTGGTGTTGGGGGTCATCTATAACTACTTTTTCCACCCCCTGGCGCAAGTCCCTGGACCTTGGACCGGTGCGATTTTTCCTGTAAGTCCAACCCAAAAGCTGCCGGTCCTACCTACTCTGAGGAATATTGACCCTTCGTATTCTCATAGTTCTGGACGATGAGCAGCTTGTACCGCCGGAGGTTAAACCCCGATCTGGCAGAACTACATAAAAAATATGGTCAGATACTCTCCCCAGCTTCTCGAGGGCTACGGCAGCCCGCTGATATGCCAGCGGGACACAATACAGGCCCTGTTGTTCGAGTTGGCCCCAATCAACTGTCATTCGCAAGCGTCGAAGCCCAGAAGATGATCTACAATGCCAAGCCGACGCATACCGGCTCCGATGAATTATTTGGTAGAGACGGAACCCTACAGGATGTGTTGCTCTCAATGATACTAGGAGCAGCCAACATCGGTTCGCTCTCGAACCGAGCTGAGCACAAGAAGATGCGAAAGCGCTTACAGCCTGGTTTTACGTCCAGGGCGCTTTTCGAACAGGAATCCCTGCTGCGGCTGCACATGGACCGCCTCTTGAATGGACTTGCGCAAGATGCAGGGGTGGTCGATTTGACTGAATATTTTTCGAGGTTCCTCTGGGACCTTATTGGTGATCTTTCATTCGGAGAACCTCTAGTGCGAGAGAAGCACGGTGAGTCGATTTTGTATCTGTCGTCTCCGCACCCATGAAGCGTGTTTCTAAACAGGCCTTTACAAAGACACGCTGCGGTCGCTGGTTGGGTTATACCAAGGGTGCTTTCCCGTCCTGGAAGCTATCAATTATGCCGTTCCGCAAATCGAAGGAGTTCTCAAGCTTGTTTTGCAGCTGGTACCGCCAGCTACTCTACGCGCGGTCTTGCCCACTTCCACATTCAGAGAGTATGACCATCCTGCTGTTGATTCTCACACAACACCACTCCACTGGTGATTCTTACTCCAGAATCAAGGCGCCGCTGACTGAGGGTATCTTTTCTAGTTGCGTTGACCGACATGATGGCCGGTCAGATTTCCTCACGCATATTATGGGCGACAAAAGCAGCAACCCCACAGACCTAGAGTTAAGCTATGACGAGTTGCATAGTAACGCTACCGTCATAATGTGAGTAGCGACCACTTGAGGCTAGCATTGGTAGCAGGCCACAGTGGCTGAATCATCGTGTTTAGGATCGCCGGCTACAAGACGACCGAGACATCCCTCTCGGCGCTGTTCTACCGACTTCTGTCGACACCAGGGGTGCTTGAGAAACTCCAAACCGAACTTTTCAGTAACTTTGAGAGCATTGAGGAGATCACAGGGAAGAAACTGCTCTCACTACCCTACCTGAACGGGTGTGTCAACGAGTCGCTCCGGCTAACGCCCGCAGTGGCGGGCAAGTTTGCGTCCCGTCGGTCTCCGGGAGCAGTCATCGAAGGCCTCTACGTCCCGATCGGGACAGAAGTATATACGGAGACGTACACCATGCAGCGGAGTCCACAGTACTGGCACGCCCCGGACGAGTACCGTCCGGAGCGCTGGTTCGAACGGGGTGAGGGCAGCCCCTATGCTCAGGATGTGCACGAGGCGTTCAAGCCATTTAGCTCGGGCCCGCGAGCATGCCTGGGGAGAGAAATGGCCCTCCAGACTCTCCGGTTGACCGCAGCTTTGCTGGTATACCGCTTCCATTTGAAGATGGTGAACGAGGACCGGTTTGTATGGGAGCAGGATACTGATTCTAGAATGGTATACTCTAAATATCAAATAAAAGCCATTCTGCAAGATCGCCTGACTTAGGGCACTCAGGCCAAGGTATCAGCACTTCAGAATGTATGTACTTTAAAGAAGACAATATTATTTCAGGGCGCACATTGCCTTTAGCTTTTGTTGATAATACTGGCTTAGGTGTAGCTATGCAAACGGGAAGTCCTGTTTTCCACACCCTACGGTTGTATGTGCTAGAAGGAAGTAAGGATAGGACCTATAAAACCGCAGCAGAAACTGAGACCTAATTGGCCCACACTGCTCCAAGTCCTGACTGAATGCCTTTTTAACCAGAAAGTACAGATCCTATGCTTATAATAGTGATTCTATTAATCAGGGCATGAGCTCACATATTAAGTAAGGCCCAATGACACAGCAGGCCTTCCAGATGATCAACGTCGCCCCGACGACTTCGTACGGTATCTTCCAGATAGGAGCCTCAGCCAGGACAAGCCAGACCGAATAGAAAGCGACAGCAAAGAAATAGAAAGCGACAGCAAAGAAATGATAAACCAGGACCCACGGCGAGCCTATCAGACCCGCTAGCATGCCGCAGGGCTCTTCCTTGTACCGACCCCCAATCTGGAAGTATCGAAAACACCCAGTTTTCAATGCAGCCATCGTGGTGTCCTCTGCTGCAAACAGCGCATACAGTGCCATTGCAAGGATGTTGATGAGCGAGGAACTGCGCTTGCGCGCCCAGTGGAAGCGACCTATCCGCTGGAGCACTGCGCGGGAATCATCCAGTGAAGGGACATTTCCCGGAGCAAGCAGCTTGGAGATCAAGAGCACGTCGTTGAAAGCAACAGTCATGCCGCCGCCGGTCAGCGGATGCCTCATGTTCAACGCATCGCCGAGGAATAGCAGGCCGGGAACCTTTTGTTCCGACGGGGCAGAAACGAATTGGGCATGCTTCGGAACTTGCCCCTAGCTACTGCCTCGCGGAAGCTGTCCTGGCAGCCAGATGGCAGGCTCGGCAGAACTACATCAAGCATGTGGGCTTTGATGCCACCGGCAGCGGGACTAGCGCTGGGTAAGCCGGTGGGAACGTCCATGAAGATTCGCGTTTGGCGAGGACTGATCTGATAGACGAGGATGGGAGGGGCATCGGAGAGAAACACATGTCCGTAATAAGGCTCCGGGAGCTTGGCATCAATCATTTCCAGAGCCCAGAATTTCGATTGGCTTGAGGGCTTGTTGGGAACGTATCCCTTGCGGAAGGTGGACGCATAACCATCACAGATGATTGTCAGGCTACCGTAGTACTAGACTTGTTGTCAGAGATGGTTTGCAAACCACAAGCAAAGATGCGACTCACCTTTGTAGTCTTCTTACTATCCCCAGCACTGCAAGCTAGCACACCGATGACCTTGCCCGTATCTTCATCACGGAGGAGGTCCGTGGCTTTAGCCTCCACTACAGTCACGTTTGGTGCATTTGCTGCAGCGTGACGGAGGTTTTGAATAAAGCGACCGTGTTGGAATGAGCAGCCTTCCGGGCGCTCCCCTGGTGCATCAGGGTCGTCGGGATACGGGATATTGACAGATTCCTTGAAATATGATACTCGATAGCCATGGCATGGCACCGCGTCAATATTTCTCAGACAGTCTATTAATGTTCGGTTACCCATCAGGCCAGACAATGGAGAGGCCATAGAAGGCAAACAACTGAGTCTCACCTCCTATGCCCAGGGAATGCAAGGCGCGAACTCCCCCGGGTTGCAGCAGTTCGCCTACCACGCGCTCAGGCTGTGCCAGACTCTTTTCTAACAGCACCACCGTCTGTCCCTGTTTGCCAAATGCCACAGCAGTGGCGCATCCGGCTACTCCGCCGCCCACAATGACAATATCTGATGTGCGGGGCTCATTCTGTGTTCTTGACATTTCTGTCAGACCATGAAACCTGATAGTCAGACCAGGACTCGTGATATCAATTGATGAGGCATGTGAAAAGGAGGTTCTAATTGAGAATCAGGGGAGTGGTGCAGTTAGTGTGGCGCGGCAGTGGCAGGGATTGTGCTTAGATGTTGCAAATATACTACCATTAGGCTGAAAAGGTGTCTGGACAAAGTATTACGGAGTAAATAGTCTAGGGTTTCATATCTACCACAACTACAATGCACTGTGCTCAGCATGCCATGTATAACGTCAGAATTGCAAGCATATGCAGGTCCTCATGAAGGAATACTTTGATGCCTCTATGGCACTTGGGCCACCAATTTATGCCCTTGAACCTGGCGAGGAATCTCATGAGTTGAATGACACTCTTATCCATCTACTACTACTAACTTCTCTACTTCTTCTTGATATCTTACTGTAATTTTGAATCTACTAGGATCTGTAATAGTGGTAGACTTTAGAGCCTAACCGCCTTTGCTGTGATTATATATATTGATAGGTATATCCACCCGCACTATTTCCATGCTTTCTATTCTTCTATTATGTATTCTAAACATGTATATTAACCATTTAACCAATAGTGCATGCTTACAACGTAGTTAATTAAGTGCATAGGTCAGCCTGCTATATGCCTGACGATTTATCTTAGACTCTTCGTGTAGTCTATAGAGGATGAGAAGACTAGAGGACGACCTAAACAACCCTGATTGGTAGTTTTCCACATGTAAGTTGGAGCTAGCAGCACCAGGGCGTAAGCAGCGTTGATCCATTTGTTCATTCATTCATTGCCCTTTTTGGCACAGTGCAAGGCATTCTAGTACAGTCAACTGCCCCTATAATTATCTCTATAGTTACTGCCGAATGGTCTCCACTCCAAGGCCTACACAGCTCTGAACGTATGATTATGGAAGAAAGCGACTAAAAATGAATGTAGAGAGCGAACTAGCTAGGGGGACAGGCATCTTACATACAAGTGAGCGTGGAATGGAGCAAGATGACCAAGAAGGGAAGCAGACGTTGACCAATCCAAGGCTGACAGAACAGGCCCATGGGCAAGTGTACACAAGCCCGCCAAGCCAGACATAAGAAGGGGAGTTAAGGGGAATATTCTGCGAGTGCCAAAGGAAACAGAGATATGGAAATTCAAGTTAGGAATAGGAACGCGAGTACTGCAAGATCGAAATGGGATGACGGGTGCCAGCGGTTGGGCCGATCTGATGGGATCATCGACCTTGACCTATAGCCTGTATTAGTCTCGACCTCAAAACTCTAGAACTAGGGCACTGTCAAAGAGAATAGGTCAGGCGTACAATGTTATTATCAAGGTCTGCAATTTCCACAAAGTCAAATCAGCCAAGCTATGGAGTATTTTTCTTCAGTGGACCACGGCTTTCAAATAAAGATGGCCTTCATCCACTTTTCCTTTTTTTGTGAATGCGCTTCTATGTACCCCCTGTGGGCTCAAAAGCAAAAGGGTTGACGAGACAACTGACTTTCAAAGGCCCAAGTCTGTTCCACTCTTCTAGCTTGCCTCTGGGTCGTATGAAGAAGAGCTAGGACACCGTGGGAGCCGGCAGTCATCCGTGACCCAGCACTGTCTATTTCCTTCTTCATCTATCGCCGAGTCCCAATCGCAGTAATCAATCAACATGGTAGATACGGTCGATGCCATATTTCAGGTGCTGTTGGAATGTTATGTAGGATGAAGTCGCTCTGCCGTGATGGAAGTTGTTAAGAAGGTCCAAGGGGAAGTCGAACAGATTACAGAAAATGAAGAAAGACAATGGGCTCATTGAAGAGACTTAAAAGGAAACTGTGGTTCAATGCTCATACTCTGTACATTATAAGTTGAATGCAATGCCATATCAGCCTATTACCCAGCTGTGCAGGGTGAATACAACATCCCATTTTAATCTTGCCTGAAATGTCCCTCACTAGTGTGGCTATTCAATGCTTATGCTTTATGTTGAATGCATTGCCACGTCAGCCTATCACCCAGCTGTGCCAGGTTAATACAACGTCGCATTTTAATCTTGTCTGAGATCTCTTATTAGTGTGGTCATGAATGCAATGCCACGTCAGCCCATTGCCCAGGTCTTTCTTGAATATGGATATTGACAATGATTGTAATCTACAAATATGTTTCCTTCCCACTCTTGCCCTAGCACAGTTTTCCAAGCCTGGTAAGTTCCTTTGACACCCCTTACCAGTCATCGGCGCAGTCAACCTTGAGTAGCGATCAATGCGAACGGTGCGAGTCAACGAGGCATGGAGCCAACGCTCACAGCCCTCAATCTCCGGCGTAGTCCAGTCGTGGGAGAGGAAAGACCTCAGGCTTACAGCTTACGATGGGTATGAGGCTTACATCGGCACCCTGCCGCCGGAGGAAAGCAACGATTAGAGGGCAGGGGTGTACGATAATCTTCCAGACGCCGAGTTTGAGCGCCTGCTGAGGTCCATGAGGCGCATCCCAGACCATGACATTTACCCTGCCTTCAAAGAGGGCATCACCCAGTTTGAGCCCGAGACGTGCACGCAAGACTACTTTTTAAAGCAGCCAAACACCAGCATCTACAAGGGAAATGATGACGTCGCACAGTTGATGCTGGCCGAAGCCCGAGCCAACCAGAGGTTTCTCGCGCACCCTCACGTCAACCTGGGCAGCTATCTTGGCTGTGTGGTGCGCGGCGGGCGCATCGTCAGCCTCGCCTTTCCCAAGTACGTCGGGACCCTGGCTGATCGCGTCCGCAAGGCCCGGCAACTTGGGCCAGCCCACTTCCCCGCGGAAGAGCGAGAACGCAGTATGAATAGCATTCAGTCTGCCGTGAGGCATCTGCACTCTCTGGGGTACGCGCATAATGACATCTCCGCATGCAACGTCATGTTTGACAGCAGCGGTACTGCGATGCTCATCGATCTGGACTCCTGCGCTCCCATTGGGGAGAAGGTTAAAAAAGGTGGCATTGTGGGCGGATGGAGGGGGCCCTCCTTTTGGAAGCAGGAATTTAAACAGTCATCAATCGAGTGTGACGAACTGTCGCTTCAGTATGTGCGAAACTGGTTGATCTGCGAGCTTTCAGACAAACCTGGCTCGGAAGAACTCTAAGGCTTTCTCTACTCTAGCCCTAGAGCGGCTCCCAGCTGTTCAATGTCCGGGAGCTCCCTGGCAAGTCGAGGCGTGTGACTACTGGAAAGGGCTTTCTTTTCTCACTCGGCGGGCTGTTGGATGCTGGGAGTCCTGTTTATGGATCCGGGTGGTGTAGGTTCGACCGGTCGTCAAATTATAGCAACGTGTATTGTTCCGATACTTCATCTGTTAAGTAAGTACAGCAAAAGTAGTCCTCGGAAGGGGGCGACTGCCAAACCGAGTGCAAGACTGTAATTCAACGACCTAGAGGGCCTAGTTCATCGGCCGTCCTTGTTTCCTATTAGTCTGGGAACCTGCAGGCTGTGACCTCGAAATCACAGTATTTCAACCTGGGATAGTGCCTAGTTTTAGGCGCACATGGCCGAAACCGGGCCGGGCTGGACCAGTGTGTATGGCCTACCCTTCTAAATAGCCTACTGCTGCAGTGAAAAGAATACGTCCAGCAAGCAATCAAGCGCACAACGTACAGTAAGTGTTGCATTTAGGGTATGACGACCAAAACAGACGTGACGGCTATGACTTAACGGTCTAACACTACTGCGTTACGGGGTTGGCTCGTCACTACTCCTTTCTCCACTTTGGAGCTGGACTCTCTCTGGTCTCACGAGACTCTTTGGTCTCGCTGGACGAGGAATGTCTCTTGCGTGACGGGTCGCCCCTAAGGCAGCTCTCAGCGCTGGCCCTCCCTTATCTCCGCCGATGATCTCGAAACGGAGTCTCCATAATGTGGTTATATTCCTGCCACAAAAGCATCATGTTGTTTCCTCATATTAGGGGCCAGGAGATCTCAGCCTCATGATAAGTGCGGGAGCCACATTCTGACAACCAGGACATTTCTGCCACAACTGGTCCCACTTGATGTTAGATAGATACACCCATAATTATTCTTAAGCCTGAAAGAGTAGAGAAAGGAAGAGGTCATTTTAGCATATTATATCTAGCTAATGCTGTGCCCTTACTAAAATATACAGACTTACTAAGGCCCCTATCCTAACCGAATCATCTCCCATTGGGCACAATTCCGATTAGTCAGTGGACTGATCCTTCAGCTGAGCCTGCAAGTTCCATCCCTCGCCATTAATATTATCGAACGAAGAATATCTGGGGTGGTAGTCTACTCTACGGACTGGACAGGTGAAATCACTTGCAGGATCAGGCCAGCGAGCGGGCAAATTTCGGCAAAAATACCTTAATGTACCACTACCACATTAGGGCCCGCCACGTTATTGTCCAAATATCTCAGACGGACTAATCAGGATCAGCCGCTACTGCTGCTGCTAGTGCCACTAAAGTTTATCAGCCGTTAGGGATCGAAGGATCAGGATCAGGATCGGGATCAGGTACCAGGCACCGGGCACCGGGCCATGGGTGGCTAGGATTGTCAGATGGTGTCTGCAGGTCTGAGAAGAAGGGGGATTACGGAGTAGTACAATGATTTATTTGAAGATGGGTGTCTTCATGGTGTTTAGATCACAGGATGAGAGTAGACTACACTACTCCAGGGTATAGGGAACTGCAAGAACATGTTCTGTTAATAAGTTGTAGATGATATTACAATTCTACATTTAGGATAAGATAATTCCTGACTCTTGCCAAGCGCACAGGGACTCAGTAGCAGGGAATCTCGGCTAGTAAGGAGAAGAAGAAAGCAAAAGGAGAAAATATGCAAAAGCACATCACCATATCTATGACAAAGCTAGTGTCTCTTAAAGTAAGAAACAAATGCAAGAAACTAACCTACAACCAAACCCCCACATCACAATTGCCAAGGGCGTAGTCCATCACTTGACCTGCTCCAGAGTCCAGCCTCACAGACCAGGCATCCCAGCGCGCAAGTTGGCATACTTGCTGGTAGGATAGTTGAGGTTGTTCTTTCTCTTTTCGAGCCCGTGGGCACCGCCAAAGGCGTTGACAGTCGTGCTGATCAAACTCTTGGTGTCGTTGCGGTCCATGCTGACCTCCCACCATGCAGCACCACCCAGGCCAAGGCTCTTGACGTACTCGGCCTTGACCGCGGCAATCGCGGGGGTGTCGTAGGAGATCATGTACTTGCGGGCGGCGTCGTAGCTGTAGCTGGCGCCGATGGCGGGCAACTCGACGACACTAGCGTTGAAGCCGGGCACGGGGAGAGCCTTGTAGTCCCAGACACCGGCGGTGCCGAAGCTGCCCAGGGTGCCGACGTCGGCGAACTTGGTACCGGGGCCAGCGGTCAGGTTGAAGGAGCGGCCGTAGAGGGGAGACTGCAGCAGGATCTTGTTGGCGGGGGCGCCGGCTGAGATGTAGTGCAGGATGCCGGAGTTGGTCTCGAAGTCGGTCGACTTGGGGTTGGACACGTCGGTAAAGAGGTTGGCCTGGTGTCCGGAGTAGTTGCTGAAGCCACCCTGGTAGTCGAGAGCCATGAAGCTGTAGAAGTCGACGTAGGGGGTCATGTTGGCGAGGTCGAGCAGCTTGTACTTGTCGGGTCCGGCGGGAGACGCGTAGGAGATGATGAAGGGGGACGTGGCGTTCAGCTTCTTCTCGAGAGCGTGGAAGCCAGCGCGCAGATCCTTGAGCAGACTGACCATCTGGGCGGCCTGTTCGGCACCGTCGACGTATTCGTAATCGATATCGAGACCGTCAAAGCCGAGGTCGGACACCAGCTCCATTGCGGAGGCCACGAATTGGCGCCGCTTGGTCTCGGAGGCCAGCATGGGGCCAAAGTTCATCCGGTAGGTCCATCCACCAACGGAGAGAATAGTCTTGAGGTTGCGGTGGGCCTTCTTGAGGAGGTACAGCTGCTTGATGTTTCCATAGACGTTGGTGCCGGGGGCGGTGTTATCGTCGCCGGGGTAGGAATACTGCAGGTCGGCCCACTCATCGCTCAAGACACTGGAATGGAGTCAGCATTGTGCACTTTCTGCGAATACGCAACCGTCTAAGGATCTAGTATCACTCACATTGAACCAGTGGTGGTGTTGATGTTGGCAAAAGCGTAGGACAGATGAGTCAACTTGTCGACGGGGATATCGGTGACCATGAAGCTGCGGGCATAGATGTCCTAACATCCCGACTTAGCCATTGATCATAGTTACGAAAGAAAAGCAATCTACTCACCCAATTTCCGTAGTAGGCCAGAGACTTCTTTCCAGCAACCTCAGGGCCAGGAGTCCATGATGGTGGTAACACCTGCTTGCCACCATCCTGGCCTACATCCTTGCCCCCATTCTGGCCACCGTGCTTTGCATCATGCTTGCCCCCATGCTTGCCATCGTGCTTGGTTGGGCAGGCCAGCGCTCCTGTGAAAAGGAGAGTGGTAACGAGTGTAGACAACAATGACACACGCATTGTTATGGATTAATGAACGAAAGTGTCTATAAAAGACCGTAAACGAAAGACTAAAAGAATGAATGGTTCTCGAAGGAGAGTAAAAGAATTGTGGCCAGAACACTGTTGTTGACCGAGTAGAATGCAGCAGACATCCCAGTCTTTATATCAACTTCTATCAGTCAGGGCTTCAAGTCCGGAACCCCTACTGCCCTCAACGCGTCTAAGACATCGCAAATTGGAATTGATCAATTAGACTTTGGGACATAAACGGAGAGGGCAACTTAGTGGTCGATCATCTTCTAGGGCATTTTCCGGAGTGTTCCGGACCCGAGTATCCAAGGTCCGACTGGTCCTGAAGGATTTCTGTAGGATCCGGATCCCAGCTGGATTCCTCAGGGGCAATCCTTTCGGGGGGCATCATGGCATTCCGTGGCGTACTTGGGATAGTAACAGCTTCTTGCTGGGAAAGTGTGTGTAAATTTCACGGGTTCAATTTCCACGTGGCTTATCTACATTCTTGACGTGGTTGACCAGTGTGGTACTATGTGCAGTTGCCTTTCCATAGCCTTATGTCGAACCTATCACCGAAGGACCTTTGGGGTGTCTCAGATCCAGGTGGATTCGTGAGGAGTTAGTCGTCTTTTAGCCGAGAATTTTCCTGGATCGGGGAAATATAGTCTATGGGAAGGAAGATTGACTGCGCCCAACTCTGTGAAAGTCCAACCTGTTTACTGGTCAAGTCATTTGCGTTTGAAGATAGTTCTTTCTGTATTTCATCGAAACTAGTCAGCATCTAAGGTAATTTCTGCTAGTTTGTTCAGAAGTGAAATATCTCTTCTGCTGGAGAAGTCGATAACGGAGCCAGTTAATTAAGCTTACATCAAGGGGCCACCATGGACCGATTTCCTAAAGTGGTCAAAAGTGGGCCATTGCCCAACTAATTGCCCGGCTACTGTTAATAAAGATGCATATATGAGACACACATAATCAAGAATCTAGAAGGTCTCTCGCCTGACAAAGCTATATTAGTATTAATAATATGATGAGCATGTTGCTGCACAGAGGCACGCAGCTAATTTATAGTTACCATGCCATCTTATAGCAAGCATATTATCACATTGGGCTGGAATACACCTCATATAACATACCATATATCAGGCCACTCAGCCAAAAAGAAGGTATCCAGACAACCATCTCTAGCTAGTAGGATGATAGCAGTAGGGTCAACACAGCACGGAATACAACATAACACATCCCAGAGCCCGTTTAACTTCTTCAGACGCCTCCAGAGGATCAGATCTGTCCTTCCCTTCCTGTATATGTCGTCATTGATACTCTGCAGCCATATTTAAGGGCAGCGGAAGCTCTTCCATTCCCACTGGCCAGGATTAGGGTTGATCATCCGGTTTAATACAAATCCAGTAAGCTATTATGCAACCGGCTTCCTGTACCAGTGGGATAGTGAAGGTAAATTTATCATCCTAGGAGACGCAGAACGAAACGTCTCATGGAATATCCTATAGACTGGCTGCTTTCGCTTTATATACGGGAGGGAAAAGAAACTGGGTATATCCAAGTAACTATACCAGAAGAACTAGTTAAACTAGTTCCATTTTGCGTCAAACATTGTTTCCAACACCTCTTCATTTGTGATCCCCAGACCTAAAAGCTCGTTATCCACCTTCTTATACGCGGACGGATATTTCCCACTAAAGACAGCAGCCTTGAGCAACCCCAGAACCAGAGGCATTTCCATCCCCTTCTCTGAAATTTGATTAACCATGTCAGCAAGTTCAGCTTCAGCGTCGACGTCAGATTCAGTCCACGCCTCCGCAGGCGGATTGTACTTCTTCGCCAGCGCCAAAACCTTCTTCTGCGTCAAGACCATGTCGTGGACATGAAGCACGCGATTCCTCGTGGCGTCGGCATTCTTCAACGCACCGGCGACAGCCTTCCCAATACTCGCCACGCTAGTCGTGCTGAATGGATGCTCGCCGCCATCATACAGCACAGCCGTCCGGTTGACCCTATCAACGACAAAGGGGCTTGAGACCACATATTCTAGGAACAGGCCCACGGCAAGAATGGTATATTCCAGCTCTCCCAATTCAGCCTTTTCCTTGAGATAGTTCTGGATTTCGACCGGGCGAGCATGCACGGGGAGATCCTGCGCCTCTGGGGCGGTGGTCAGGGCCCCAAAGTCTGCTGGGATAAAGCGCTTGACTCCGGCCCGGATACTGGCGTCGATAGCTGGTTTCTGGATCATGAATGCTGCTGAGTTGATGGTGGAGACGACGGCATCGTGGCCGCGAAGAGCTTGCTCCAGGCTGTCTGCGGAGGCGTAGTCGACTTCAACTACTGCCACTCCAGCTGGGACTTCCTGGATGGAGCTGCGGGACCGAGTGAGGACGGTCACGCTGAAACCCGACTTGATGAGCTGGTCGAGGACGGCGGATCCGAGGAACCCTTTCTGTCTCGTGTTAGCCACGGAAAGAGGTTCTGATTAAGAAAGTGACGTACGCCGAGCAAAGCAACTTTCTGGATGGCGGTCATGTTGGGAATGTGCTTGTGTAGGAGATCGTATATCAGTATCCTATCCACGGTGAAATATGCCTGATGAAGAGTAACAAGGCACACTGGGGACGGACGGGGCTCCTATTTATATCGCTATCTGATGTGCCCGTGGCTGTAGATTTCTTCATATTTATAAATATGCTTCCTTTACATGATCGAAGGAACCACCAAAACAGGTGCTGGAGTCGTACAATAGTGCATGTTCCTGAAGGCTCGGTAGCAGAGCAGCGATGTTACCGTGTGATGCTGCCTGTCAAAATGCTTGGCTTTCTCTCTACGTAATTGATCTTGGTCGTGTTCGTTTTTTGAATTGTTAAAAGTAAGCACTACGTCCCAAATAGGAAATGCACTCGTGAAATAGCGTCAAAAGTATTGTCTCGGGCCGAGTCTTAAATCCGGTGGTTATACGAGGCATCGTCTGCGCTCCGCAACCATCTCAGACAGCCTTCTCTTCCCTCCAAAATCCAGCCTACGCATGGGATTTACAATCCTCTATTTTGTCTTGATCAGATCAATATCCAAGCATCTCGAATCATGGTATCTGTCAGCCGTGGCAGACTAGGATGCGAAAACTGCCGGTCCCGAAGGATCAAGGTAGGCCCCGTTGAGCGCTCTAGGTTCACTTCTCTAATACTTTATACAGTGCAACCAGCTCAGACCAAGGTGCTCTCAATGCGCCCGAGCTGGCCTACAATGCTCTGGCTACAGAACTCTCTTGGATCTTGTCTTTCAGGATCAGACAGCGAGGATAGCCCAGAAGTATTCTGCAACAGATACGGCCTGGCATGGCAAAGCCCGTCACCATGATCTAACCTTCTTTATCCCACCAATGCCCGTAGAAGAGATCGCACTGCAGCATTACCTTGATCAATTCACCATCACACGCGGCCCCAGCCCACTGCGTGCCCAGGAGCGACCCAAAATCATCGTTACGAGCGTTGTCTCCGTTGGCTTGGCCGCATTGGCAGCTGCCCATCGCGATCCAAACTTGATGCAGCTGGCTCGACGCAAGTATGCAACGGCTCTTGGGCTTCTTGTGCGTGCCATTCATGATCCTGGGCAGTCGCCCGCGGCGTACACGGCTACTTCTAGCTTTAACCTGTCGATGTTTGAGGTTTGTCCCCGTCAAGGTCTACGATTATCTATCATCACTGATTAGTGGCTAGATGATAATATACGACAATCGGTCCGATTCCTATCAGTGGCTAAAGCATATCCATGGAACAACGGCAGTTCTGTACTCTCAGGGGTTGGCGGATATGAATAGCACGCAGATGACAGCCGTGCTTCAGGTCTGCTACACTGTCGTAAGTCACGCACGAATGACATTCGCTTTGGTTCTCTAGTCGTTGGACTAACTTCCCACCTAGGCTGTAGCCTGCATAATCAGCAGGCAAAGAGTTCCCTCTTTCCTTGTGGATCTGGTACAATCTGCTGAAACGTCGAATAGCGAACCACCAGTGGAGCTATTTCCCCTTCTCTGTACCCTGGTGGATCTCTATGTCCAAACGGCCCAGAGTCGGGACCAGAAGAGAAGCTATATCATCTCCAAAGCCATAGAGACTGCTCAATCTCTGCAGTCTTGGGCGGCTCGCCTCCCATCGACTTGGACGGATCCCCTTGCCCCGGAGAAATCACAACAGGGTCCTGATGCATGTTGGATAGCAAGAGTGTGGGTTTACTACCGGCTCTGTCGTATCCTTGCACATATGGTCATTCAAAGTTCCCTCGCTAGTCCTCTCCAGTCGCTAAGTTGGACTTTGGGTGGTGTATCCTGCCCGCAATTCGACAGCTTATCACCTGTGGTATCCCAAATGACCAGTGAAATCTACGACTGCATTCCCGCAATGTTGGGATCAATATACCTCCGCGACAAGCCGTCTCCTTCCTTGTCGTCGAATGTTTTCTTTCTCATTACCATCTTGCAGGCGTTGATAAGGTTGACGGATAAGACGACTGTCGTTGATAACTGGTCCTCACAGATGTGCAGATTATATGGGGAGGATTTTGGGGTTATGAAGGAATTGGTTATGATGCGCCTGTGTTAGGCATTGTATCTTATGTTATCTGACCAAGGCATTTATAAGAACCTACCACTGTGCTCTAGAACCTGCTTAATACTCTGCCACATATAGTAGTAGTTAGTGGGGCCTGGGAAGTAGCTGCCCATGGTCAGCTATTGTCTACTCGCGGGCCTGTCCTTATAATTATGTATTCTAAAGGTTTTTTTTGGGGGAAAGCAATACGGTCCAGAGATCCATAATATATGTACCTCTCTATGAATAGTATAATTAAGAAATATCTGTCAGGGTACCTAGACATATATATCTCCATACTACCTTTCACCTAGAATTAGACAAACTTGGTTTTTACAGCCAGAAAGCGTCTGGTCCCTCAAGGATGCGGAGAACTGCCAGCTCGCCGGGAAGACTCAGTTAATCCAGATGATCCCTACTACGTCTTTCGTCCGTTCGCATGTTCCTTGACCGTCGTTTCGTGTTTGTGAGAAAGTTTGCGATACTTCGTGATGGCCGTGTCCTTTGATCGTAGAACCAGCTGAAGTTCCGACTGTCCAGATCCTAGCAATTGATCCTTGCCACCCCAAGCAATCGAAGCCTTCGGTACGAAAACGTCCTCTAGCGCATCCTCGTAGACAGATTCCGAATCCTCGATAATCACCGGGCTGACAGGGTCCAGATCGGATAGTTCGGGAATACCATGAGTCTCTAATATACCGTCCACGATCTCCACTGGTACCTGAAGAACTGTGGCGAATATCCCATAGGCAGCGGGATGTTTGATCTCCAGCGAGGTCATCAATGACTCCGGCAGTTGCGTCGCGTAGCATATCAGTCTTTCATTTGCTTCACGAGGAACGAAGATGCTCAATTTGCCGTTGAGATATTCCATGTGTAGTCTGCTGTATGTTTCCTTGCTTGTGCTGGAGCCAGACAGCGAAGTCAAGGTACATTCTCCGACGATATGCTCAGTTTCAAATACTAAGGCCTTCCGAAAAAGGTCGTATATTTCGCGAGCAACACGTACACTTGCGCCGCGGTAGTGAGAGATGCATCTTAGAAAGTTTTAGCCGTAAGTCTCACAGAATCAATTAGTGGAGAAACGCACCTAGACAAACCCAATGATCTTTGACGGAAGTCAGTCGTAAGTTGCGGTGAGGTTTGCAAAGGTATCTCTGAGACGCTGGTTTTCCTCACTGCGCAAACGGAGATGAAGCGGTTTTCTAGCCCCAGAGATTTTAGGAGTGGAGCTAATTCACGGACTTCTTCCAGGCGAAACTGCACCGTCGGCACCTCTCCATAGAATAGCATGGGCCAACCGTCCCTATCAATGATGAAGAAATCGGATGCGACAGATCCCCAATAAAACTCTTCCTCGGGGCTCTCGATGGGCAGGAAATTGATAAGCTTGAGACAATCCAAGTCAGACTCGGTTGGTCCGAGGTTGTTGATATGGCACAGAGCCTCAATAACCTCAATGACATTTCCTTTATCTTTGCAAAGATGCTGAATCCGGCTGATATAACAACGTATGGAAGGTCGCTGGACCTGGAGCTCCTCGACAAAAAAGCTCTCCATAGCTGGATAGACATTTCTTATGCCCATTTTACCCCCGATTGAAAATGATGCCCAGATGCATTGTTGAGGTGCATACCACTGCTTTGAGCCGGGTACATATATCATCTTGTATCGCTTGAACTGACTCCTAATCATTGAGCCACTGTTAGAGGGTGTTTAGGCACCGGTCTGGAGTGTAGACTCACCGCAGACTGTCCAAAGAATTCTCCTCATTTCGTATATCCTCTGTGATAGCCTGGTATACCCTTCGCGTCTCTTCTATCAAGCCTACTCCAACGTCCTGTAAGTGCATCAATTCTGTCATATAGGTTCCCCAGTCCGCATCCTGCACAGTAAGTGTGTCTGAAAATAGGCGCCGTATTTTCCAGTCGCTCGCATATTCCTCATGCAACGCAAGAGCGTACGCAGTCCGCAACCACGAGGGGCCATGCCAAACGCATTGGTCGAGACGCACTAACTTCGCACCGTCACCGCTATCCGGAATATAGACGGTCTTCTCATCGTCGAAAAATTCCCTACCTACGTCAGAACAGAATAGAGCAGTTTGAAAAGCGGTCATACCACAAGTCGTCGAATGATCTCTCAGATATCCATCTGTATAATTCGAAAAAATGCGGTTTGGCGTCCTCCAGTGTCATGGTGGATAACAAGCGATCCTTAATGACCTTAATAAAAGCCGCCGCTCCACCACCGGACACACCGAGCTCTCGGAGAAATCCCCATTCCTGCTCACTCTCCGGGCCCCAGGGCTCCGGTAGTTTGAGAAAGTTGATGTTCAATGTGGTGGACATGGCCTCAACCAAGCTACAAATCTCTGGGATAGGAAAGTAGCATTCATCCAGCCTCGCCAGTCCGTTTAACGTTGGGACTTTCGCTCCCCTGATAGCGGATGCAATGAGCGGTTCTTCTTTTACCTCTGTTTCGTATGTGTCCCAGTACCTTCCCAAGATACCTATAAGAAGGTCTGGATGGTGGGATATTATTGCATTGAATAGATCAGAGAACTCTTTACGGTTGTTCGTCTGTGTTAACCGGGGAACTCGCCGTATTATCCCTTGCTGTTCCAGCCATATTCTCCACGTATCATTGGCAATGTGCGTTTTGCTTATGTGATTTGGATCAAGAAAGGCAGGGTGCGACACAAGAAGGCGAGGGCCGATTAGAGAGCCCGAGTCCAGTCTTTCTGCAATAGCTTCCGTGCCGTAGGCACCATCTGTTCGGAGATATACATCGAAGGGGAAGTATCTAGGGCAAGAGGTCCTGCATACCGGTCTCCTCATACAGTGCTCATCAAAAAGCATCAGGCAAGGCGGCTCCAGGCGATCGTCTTTGGCGCAGCTGTGGTAGACGTAGCATAGAATGTACATAGCCTCGGCTATAGGATCCCGAGCGGTCGTCAGCCCAAGGGAGATGGCATGGTTGTGGTGGCTGATCAGCTGCATGACCAGTTCAGGAGATGCGCGTCGAACCCCAAGGAGACGGAAGAGTTCTTTTTGGTCGTTGTCCCTAACTGCTTCCTCTGAAACAGTCAAAATATCAAGACATTTCGGAATGTCATTGCCGTTGGTGTCTGTCGAAAAGTAGACAGCACCCTTTGCAGAAGCCAAATTTATCGAATTTAGGTCGTTTCCTCGAATGAAAGATCCGTTGCTCAACTCAATAACTGGGAAATTCCTGATCTCAGTTGCCAAAGCGTTATTGGGATCCCTCTTGAGCCACACTATTAGCAGTCGTAGGATACGCGATATCCGTTCCTTTTGTGAATCGGAACTTAGCAGCACTCGCAAAGGCTTTGTCAGGATCGGTTTGAGCCTTTCCAGGACTTCGTGGTCCGAGACTTCTTGGAGACCTAGAGGCTTCAAAAGATCAAGGTAGGCACTGTATTTGGTAGAAAGGTAATGTTCGTCACCCGAAGCTCCGAACAAGGGCTCGTTATCTACTCCATAATGCTCCGGTGACAAGTACCGAAGTGAAGACAAGCGTTTTCGAACACCCTTGTGACTCTGACAAACAGCGGCCCCTCGGAGGTTTTCAATTACCTTTTCCACTGTTTCACGCCAGGCTGGTGAGACAGTGCTCGGTTTGGGAATGTACTGGACCCATCGGAAACGCATGGAGTGATTTTGACAAACGGAAACGGCAGCACAGAAGGAATTAAGGACACAATCTTGTAATAAGGTAGAAGTCTCGATGTCGGCATCGCTCACCGGCTCGAATTTCGACACAGTCGCGCAAACAATGAACTATAAAGTCAGCAGCCTACTTGGAGATGGCATCAAACGAACCGCATACACTCAATCCCACTTTCCTAATAGGGAAAGCGAACGAACCAACAATATGGTAGGCCTTCCGAGATCGTATAATGGGCCTTGAGGCTTGATCGATAGGAAACAATAGTGCCATCTGCTCAAACGACGTCGACGGAATGACTGGCCTGTATAGAAGGAAACGCTCCGTAGATGATTGTAAAGAGGATGTAAATAGACCCGGATATGTTTTGGTGACCTCCAGGATACCGTCTCGCACTTGGACTTCGTATGTTAGGCTTGTTGTCTGGAAGCTGTCCAGACGGGCAACTAAAACAAATTTCTTGCACATAGGTCGGCAAGTGTCATCAGGATTGAGCAGCACGAAACCGCCGTTTGCAATATCCTTAAACTCATGCACCAATTTATTAAACCCCCCCGGCAGAGCAGGGTACAAAATTATCCTGGTGCGCACTTTTTCAGGCAAGGATGCCGGGTCTTTGTTTACCGGGGTTGTAAACCCAAGCCTGTCACCGGGACTTCGAGGCCCAAGGACGAAGGAAAACGGACCTGACTGTACATGGATTTCCCTCGCAATTCTAGAAGTATATAGAAGAACCGTATCATACAGGTTGTTGGTTCGGGCATTGGGAAGGAAAGCAGAACAGCCCTCGGAAAGTTGCAGGATGTCACTTTTCAAGCACCCATCATCATTGGTGTCGATAACCATACGGTCTGCAGATACATCCAAGGAGAAATAGGGTTCTTTTCCTTGCTTCTTTGCCCAATTGTAGTGCAACGAGCGGGCGCTGGAGATCAATTGGAACACAACATGCCTTCTAACATCCGGTGTGTCGCATGGCGTCCAAGGGTGCCGAAGCCTTCCAAGTTGATTTCGAACACTCTGTAGCGCTTTTATAACAGCAGGGGGCGTTGCGGCTCGATCTTCGTCAGTGATGATACCATTCCTTTGGCCAATCTCATCCACAATTTGTCGAGCTTGCTCGCGGGTAAGTTCCGCCATCTTCTGGTGAAACCTTGCTGTGTGAGGTAGAGAAAAAGAGGACAAAATACATGGAAGAAGAAAAAGCTCCTGTGGATTCTCTGTGAGTGCCCCTGAAGTGCAGCAACTCAGACTCCTAGTTGTTTGAGATTATTCCCTTTTTGTATTGCGGCGCAGTGAACTAACATGGATTATTAATTTGATAATAAAATCTGAGAGGCTGGTTTCTCATACCCTTGCAAGGCTGAACGCGCTATATTAGAGTGAAAAAGTATCCGGCTCTTGAAAAGAGCTTAGTGCTGTGGAGTTTTATCTGCCAGACCGGAGAGATAGTATAGGTACGGTCCGCACTTTGGTTCTGTGATACTATTCCCAAATAGTGAGTACAATATAGAATAAGATGGCTTCAAAGTACTATTGAAGGAACTGACTATAATGCATGTTAGGACAGATGTCTATATCATCGCAGTCTTGCTAATACCGCTGCACTGTAGAACTTGCTTAAAACTCTACCAGTAGTTATCAGTATCTGTAAAGGAGAGACGCCTAAAGTCAGCTATTGTCTAGTCACAATGCAGTTTATTCTATTTATTCTATTTATTCTATTTATTCTATTTATTCTATTTATTCTAT